TCAGCGTCCCAGACAAAGCGGACGGCATACACTCCTCAGCAGTATGGCATAGTAACATCATCGGCCATATGAGCAACGCTATAGCTGTGTAGCTTCACGGACGGCGCCACTGTGGGCCGCCACTGCTAGCAGGCCGTGCTGCCGGTGACGGGCCGGCGGGGTTCGGGTGTCGCCCGTGCACCCGTGTCTCCTCCAGATTAGAGGGGTTCGCCCCGGCTGGGGTGGGGAGCGGCAGCTGGTGCCGGCGGTAAACAGGCCAGACCGGCGGCGGGCCGCGCGGCGGGGGACGAGGCCCGCCGGCTGGGAGATACCCAGTCTGGCTGGCCAGAATCAGGCCTGCCGTTCTGTCCGTATCGAACAGACGGATGACTATGTTTTTGCCGACCGCCATGCTCATACGCACGCGCAGGATGCTGAAAATAGAGGGGAAACCGCAGCTAAAGACAACACAAACGGCTGCGGCAGGGGTTTGTAGAGAGAATGATGGCTTCGCAGTACCTCCAAAAGCCGGCCGGCGGCAACTCATTGTCCGTCGTTGTCTTGAGGTGATTGACATTGCCCACCGACCTTCGTCGACGCCATCCGCCCGTGACTTCGATGTTTTTGGAGTTTTTGTCTAAAGACATCGCTGATGGTTACCAGAGACGCTTCACATAACTGCTCTACTGGCACCACCCTGCCATCACCTGATTAAGGAGTTCGTCGCGACCATTGCCATGGCTGTTTCGCTGCAGCGGTGTACGACGCGGGGGGCCATTGGGATGAAGGCCCGGTGGCGGTGCCTGGCACGGGGGCGGCCGGGATGAAGACCCGGTCGTGGTGCCTGACACAGGAGACGGCCGGGATGAACGCCCGGTCGTGGTGCCGGACACAGGGGGCGGCTGGGACGAACGCCCGGTCGTGGTGCCGGACACAGGAGACGGCCGGGATGAAGACCCGGTGGTGGTGCCTGACACAGGAGACGGCCGGGATGAAGACCCGGTCGTGGTGCCTGACACAGGAGACGGCCGGGATGAAGACCCGGTCGTGGTGCCTGACACGGGGGGCGGCTGGGACGAACGCCCGGTCGTGGTGCCTGACACGGGGGGCGGCTGGGACGAACGCCCGGTCGTGGTGCCTGACACAGGGGGCGGTTGGGATGAACGCCCGGTGGTGGTGACTCACACGGGGGCGGCCGGGATGAAGACCCGGTCGCGGTGCCGGACACGGGGGCAGCCGGGATGAAGCCCCGGTCGTGACAGGCCGGCGCCGTGCGGCAGAGTTACGGGAGCGCTGCAGAGGGCGCGGAGAGGTGCAAGGCGCAGGGAGCATTCACGCGGCGGTGGCGCGGGAGCTGACGGCGCGCCGTGCCGCTTGTGATGCTGCCAGATCGCTGCAGATGCTGTCAGACGCGCGGCCGGTAAATCGTCCTCGGTTTCTGGGCTAGATGATGACAAATGGACTGTCGCGCGGCAGGCGCCACTCGACTTCGAAGTGAGCCGCGCTGCAATGCGGGGTTAATGTCATGCGAGCAGATTACGCTGCTGCCTACAAGGCGGGTGGTGAGTTCAAAGGAAGACGAAGTCCTGTGATAGGAATTGGCCGAGTGATTACCGTCGTGCAGATACAGCCGCGTGGCCTAACCAGTCATCGGTGCCTCCGGTGGTCGAGAACATGGATGGTGTACTTCCAGGAGGTCCACGCTTCTAAGACACGTCCTGCTCTTTGGATGCACTGCTTGTGTATGTATTGGGCCACCTTTCACTATTGTTGGTGCTGGAAATCTCATAAACCCAGATGATGTTCTGGTTAAACCAAGATATGTTATTATTCATAAATGGAAGGATTTAAAACAAATTACAATGATTTTATAACTTAGCCAGCAGCACCATAGCACATCATCTGACTAAAACCACGAATTAATGAGTCATCTCATCATGTGTTGTTGGGCTGCCGTTTCCGCATCACGCCGTACCCAATCGTCCCTCGCCTCATCCCATCCCATCATCCCACCTCACCTGGCCCCATCAGCCAGCCTGGGCTGCGGCGCGGCACGGTCGGCGCACCAGAAGTGGGACCGGTCGGCCCTCCAAATCACCGTCATTAGGCCCGTTTGACGGAGCACCTCCGGGCGTAAGCGTGGGAGCCGGCTCCTCGCCGCAGCCGGATTGGAGACGCTGCCATTAGGCCCGTATATGGCAGCACTCCCGCCTCCGCTCCGTAGAGCGAACGTCGGAACCGCCCTGTTCTGGCGGATTGTTTGTGCTTGTGTGTGTCGTGACGTGGGTGAAGCGATATGCAAATTATATTTGTGTGTATCCGCCGTGAGATATTTTGCTGCGTAGCGCGTTACTTTGATATACATACACACACACACATATATATATATATATATATATATATATATATATATATATATATATATATATCACATTATCAGATCTTAACCACCATGGATAGGTTATCTCATGAGCTTTCGTTGAAGTGTTATTTCCGTACCATTATATATATGAAGAGCGAGTATATACACGTATCCTTCTTAAATGCGATAACGGTGTTAGGTCAAATCATGGTACAGGCCGAGTGTTGCATGACATTTAACGGCGCTGTGATTGACACGGTGTCGGCTGCCGGAAAACCGCCGTTACATGTGGTCACATTACAGTTGCGGGGCCAGCGAGCCGCTGAACTGTAACGTATACCGCGTGCTATCGCGCCAGGCGAGCCAGACCCATCGGTGCCGTGGCGCCCCGTCACATGCACGCGGGGCGTCGCGTCCAGATTCTGGCGCGCTCAAGGCTCATGCGCCGACAACAAGGTGCTGCAGACGTTTGGCGGGTCGTTAGCTGCAGGGAAGGGTTTATTTGACCTTGGCGGCGGCTGGGGGTGTGTGTCAGTTACTGGCCGGCTGTGTCGCGTGATGGAGGGTGCTGGCGCGAGCAGGACGAGCTGATTGACACCGGCAGATCGGCGGCGGCTGCCGTGTGTTCTGCTCATGTCAGCCGACCGGTCTGGCTTTCTGCTGATATCAGCCGACATGTCTGGGCTTCTGCTGTCAGTGGCGGCCCAGGAAAATGCAGCTCGTGCATGGCAGGAATGTTCGGAAATGGTGGGATGTTCGACTACGCCAGGCAAACAAACTTGCACCCACTCATTACCTACCCACATCAACGCAAAAGCCGCGCCGCTCAGCACGACAAGATCACAACAGAACGAACAGCCTCAGGCCGGAGAGCACGCGAAAACCGACCGCGATCACCGCGAACTAAGTGTTGGCTGGGGCCCCCTCGGCCCGCCCCCAGCTCGGTCCTGTCTGACCGGGCGGGCCGCGCCGGTCGCCGCCCCTTCCGACAGGCGACGGCGGGCCACCCGGCCGCTGGGGCGCGCCCCGGCCGCCCGGGGCGACCGCTAGGGCGCACCCGGGCCGATCCTCCGACCCGGGCGCGGCCGGGCTCCCGACCGTACACCGGCCGACCGCCAGGGGGCACCCCGGGCTGATCGGGCCGACCGCCAGGGCGCACCCCGGCCGACCGGGCCGGCCGCTCCAGAGCCGAGACTGGCTTGTGAGCGGTGGTGCACCGGGCCCGCGCACGAGCGTTGTCGCGTCGGTGACGAAATGGCGCATCACGACCGCCGCCGCTGGCCGCAGTGGTACAGGCCCAGGGCCCCTCAAATGCATGTGAACGGTTATGAGCTGACGGTGGGGACGTAACCGAGGGGCCACGGGGCTCATGTCCCACCCAACCCCCAAACCCCCCTCTCCAGAGCTAGGAGATGCGCACTAGACACGGGGTACTTTTGCTGGAATCAGATCCAAATTCGCGGGCATTTGGGCAAGATTTGACGTCCCCCTGGAGAGAATTCTGGCCCTGTGTCCAGCTGACGAAATGACAATGACCACTTTCAGTTGGTACGAAGCCTAAATCCAGTCGGTCTGTAGCTGCCTTGACTTGGCTTGAGCTGTTGCTTGCTGGCTGAACGTTCCACCCACTGCATCAGGGACGCATGCTCACTCGTGCCATCAATGCCATCAAAACTCCAGCCGTGCGCTGGCTGCGTCATTTTATCTCACAATGCGCGCGCACACGTTCCTTTATGTCCCCTATCGGCTACCACGCGTCTGTTTATGCTGCAACCGGACTTAAAGGCATCCGAAAGCCACGTCTGCACATGAAAGCACATCAGCACAAGCGGCCAACGGGCTTGCTATGCAGACACCATCATATAACCGATACTGGTTTGCATTGTTCAGGTGTACACAGGTGTGTACCTCAGTGTCGCAATTAACCAAGTCAACGGGCGCGCCGATCAAAAGGTCACGATTACGCAGTGTGTAACCCGCCCATCAGCCCGATCTCCAGAGTACATTGTACGTCATGCCCTATCGGAGACGACGTTCCGATTATGGGCCGATAACTGCTAATTTATTCACTATTGTTCAGCCGAACCCACCGAACGGCGTCCCCAAACGACCCGGGATTGGAAAGCCTGCGTTGGAAACGGCCGTCGGTGGCTGGGGTGCCGGCCAGATCCGCAGACAGGAGGGTGGCGTGAGCCCGGCCCGCTCGGCCGGCTCGGCTGTCCTGCTGGACCACTCGTTCAGGAGTGGGCTACCCCGCGGAACCGCCTGGCCTAGCGCTGGGCTGTCCTGCTGGACCACTCGTTCAGGAGTGGGCTACCCCGCGGAACCGCCCGGCCTAGCGCTGGGCTGTCCTGCTGGACCACTCGTTCAGGAGTGGGCTACCCCGCGAAACCGCCCGGCCTGGCGCTGGGCTGTCCTGGTGGATCACTTGGCCAGGGAGGGGGGGGGGGGGTTGATGGGGGATGTGAGAGGTGTATTCTGCGCGAATCAGTACCGCCTTAAGCGCGGCACCGACACGCGTCGGGCCCCGCCGGTCCCAGTGCCCGAACCCTCGTTTCACAAGCTGCCTGTCTCGCGCCACGGCGCCTCGCTGACTGTCCGTCCCGTTCCAGACCATGAGGCGGTAGCCGCCGACGCCAGCGTGGGTGTTCGGAAGAGACCGGCGGCGCGGCTCGCGGCGTCATGAAACTGGCAGAGGAGGGCCGCCGGCTGCTGCTGGCGCTGGCGGTCGGAGCGCTCGCGAGCGCTCGTGAGCAGGAGTCGGCCAGCCAAACGCACGAGGCTGACGGCGACTACCGCTTTGTTTCACACTCGGGTGAGTAGCATCACTGGGGCGCTCTCTTTGCGGACGGCGATGTCGGCTCAGTGGGTAACCGACTGTTGGCTCTTTCCTGCAATCGCTGCCGCTCTCAAGGACATGCATGCCCATTTCCAGATTAGGCATCATTTTTGCTCCGAGCGTATCTGATTCAGGGTCTTGTACCCAATCTGGCTGCGGTCTCAGGAATCCTGGCATACACGGATATTTGAGAACTACCTTGAGCTGGTAACTGCAACAAGGCCAGAGCCATCTCTCGGTGATTTTTGAGATCTTCGTAGATAAAGTACCGAACACTTTGGCTGGAGAGATCAAAACGAACGCGAGCCGGGGTGTGCGGGAGTGAGCGGAAACCGGATGAGGTCCTCAAACTGTCCGAGATGCGTGCATGTCGCACCACTCAACGTGCACGCATCAGGGTTGTAGCTTAGGAACCACTCCGCCATACGCACCAACTTCAAGTTTTGCCAGAACCCGCGTATTCCGGTCCCACAGTCTCGAGCCCGATTTTGACAAATTTGAGACAGAGACTCTAAAGCACCCTCGCACGACTTCGAGACAATCAGAGCATTGTTCTTGAACGATTCCTGCTTCTTCACTGGATTCTTGCCGTGACATTTCGGTTCAAAGCGACGTGTCCCAGGCGGCTCAACGAAGCGAGCTGCGTTTAGCGCAGGGAGGACGAGACTTGTAGCCAAGTTGCAATGGCACATTACACATTGAGGCCAGCGAAACTAAACCGACACGTTAGGAGCTCACGCCGAAAGTACAAAAAGTCAAAACAGGATGGGCTGGAGTTCTGAGACATGAACAGTCATCAGTGTGACTGGGCAGCACCACTTAATATTCATGTGGCGTGCCGACCATATTTTGTTATCAACCTTTCAGCTGTCGGGATCGGCGCCAACTTTAAACTGGCCAGTCAGGAAAATTGATTCCACTAGGCACCTCTAACTGGCTCACATGCTGTCGCTGCACAACTGTTTCCTGAATATTGAAATAATATGTTGACTGAAGGAAGGCATTGCGGGTTGAAACGCGGGCTTCAGAATCCGGCTGTACTTTGCCGGTCGCCGTGAGCGACGTAGTTTGTGTGAACATCCTCCCTGGCAGCGGCGAGCGGGCCGGCGGTACCCGACGCCCGAGGGCTCGCTCCGCCCCGTCCGACGCCGCGCCCGGTCGAGGCGCCCGGCCGCGCGCCGGCACGTGGCGCACGGACAGTTCGTGCCCCAAGCAAGGCCGTCGTCGGCCCGGCCGGCTCGGGCCACGTAAACAATGAGCCATTGAGGGATGGCGGCTGCGCCGTCGCACGTGACAGCTGCGGTGTTCCGACAGGCGGCAGGCTGTCCGAACTCGAGACGCTCCGTCGTCGGTGGAGGGCGATGACCGCCATCTGACGACGATAGTGATTGGTTAAGCGGGTGCTCAGGCCTGCTCGCGTGTGCGCATGCGTGCGTGTAAACGCGCGGGGGAGATGATGTGCCGCATGTATCGGCCAATGGTCTACGGCATCTACTGAGCCGTACGCGGTGCATCTATGCGCCTGTCCCGCTGCCCAAGACGAATGTCGCCCCTCGGCCGGACAGATGTGCGGCCCAGAGCGTAGAGACCACCATCGCGCCGCACTGAAATGCGATTTTAATGCATGTTCACTTCAGATTGCAGACAAACACCGCCGCGCACCATGTCAGAGCCAGACTGAGGGTTGCGCAGCCCTTGTAAATGGACGGACGTTGCGTGGCGTACGCCCGCGCTGAATACTAATGACCGGGCGTTAGCTGCAGCACAGACGGCGCTGCAGTGGCTGGCAGCCTCTAGTCATGCTGCGGTCGAGCGATGGCTGAATAACAATGCCATCTCTGCCCGCTTGCCACCGCAGAGGGCACTTACGGTGATTCAGTTGAGACGGTTTGTCTCATCCAACTCGGAACATGAGTTATTTGGTTCATAATTCACGACAGCACATGATAGTTTCGGTTAATTTTGTCTTGCCATGTCGACCTATTTGGATTCCTGGTGTGGGTGTATCACATTTGTTACGCTGCATTCGTTCCTAATTTAATCCCGCCTTCCAACACGTTATGTAAATGCGTATTCATTTCGTAAGCCTTCAAGAGTTTGCCGGCTTGTAGTCACATGTAAGTTGTAGCTTCAGATCACACTTCACTCGGTGTACATGACAGGGCTGTCATGTATGCAGCGTGCATGGCTTTGTAGCCCACAAAGCCAGTTATATCACTTGATCGAAAGGCCAAACGACGTTCACCGTTACTCCGGATTCAGTCGTTTCTCACGTTTCTGTTGTTCAGTTGCCCCCCCGCCCATGCCTAAGTTATTTTGTTTTGAAGCGCCTGACCTAGGATTTGTTATTTGATGTTTGCGGAGCTTTGAAATCGTCATAATGTGATTAACTTCGTATTTGTTTCAGGACTTCTGTGCCTTGGTTTTGCTCGAACCGCTTAGAACGTAATTTTCCTCCCGGAAAACTGCCTCGAGTCAAATGGTCTGGAAAATTTTGCGATTTTGCTTTGCTATGTCGTTATGCCCCCTTTTAATTCTAGTTTTTGCATTATACTGCAATAATTGTGCGCGGTCTTATTATAACACGTAGTGAACATGAAATCGAACGCCTCGATGTGGACTCGTTCCCTGCACCAATGCATGGACGCGATACATCAGCGAGCCACGTCTGCTCCGTCAGCAGGCTGTGTGTTCCGTCAGCGAGTCACCTGTGCTCCGCCAGCGGGCCGCGTGTGCTCCATCAGGAGTCCACGTGTGCTCCGTCAGCAGACCTCGTGTGCTCCGTCAGCAGACCTCGTGTGCTCCGTCAGCAGGTCATGTGTACTCCGTTAGCAATCTACGTGTGCTCCATCAGCAGTCCACGTGTCCTCCGTCAGCAGACCTCGTGTGCTCCGTCAGCAGATCTCGTGTGCTCCGTCAGCAGGTCACGTGTACTCCGTAAGCAATCCACGTGTGCTCCATCAGCAGTCCACGTGTGCTCCATCAGCAGTCCACGTGTGCTCCTTCAGCAGACTTCGTGTGCTCCGTCAGCAGACCTCGTGTGCTCCGTCAGTAGTCCGCGTGTGCTCCGTCAGCAGGCCACGTACACAGTTCTGTCCCCTCCGCGGCCCCTGACACGTCCCGATCCTATGTCCGCGGCCGCAGCTCGGCGCACGTGACTCTGCCAGCGGACGCGGCGTGCTGACGGCGCCAATCACGTGATGCACGAGCGCGCGTGCTGCGCCGACCGCCGCGCCGTCACGCCCCGTCGGCCGGGTGGTGAGCGCCGCAGCGTCCCGCTCTGACAGCGGGCCGCTCCGCTCAGCGGCAGCGGCGGCCGGCTCCGGCACGGCCGCTGCAGAGGGCTGGGTGGGACCGAGATGGGCCGCGGGCTGCGCCGATGTCACCGGCTGCGATTTACTGGCGGCGAACGCCCTCTTTGAATGAGCTCCCGGGGAGGCCGCGAGCGGGCTCAGTGGTGATGCCATTGCTGGCGGTGCTGACTCAGGTCCTTACACAATGAACAGGACGCATTGTGTCCTATCGTGGCACCGTATCGGCACCCACGTTTCCTCCCCTTTGTTCGAAGCACTGCATTGTACGTGATTGGAGTTATAAACAGGTGCAACCATGTTAGGTCGACGATCGCTCATCCAGGTGCAAGAATGCAACGAGGTCGCCCTGCACATACCGATACGGTCTCGTTCGACTGTGCCGAATTCTGGGTGGCGGATATTGGTGATTGTCATTCGCTGCGCTAGATCACGGTGAGGCAAGTTGTTCCTCAACTTCTGACGTAGTGAGCTGCTTGGGGAATGAGGGTACCTTTTCAAACAATTTTCTGCGGAAACCCAGTCGAGCGCTGCTTCTCGCGTACCATAACGATACGCGAGACATGCCTGGAATCGCCACGTCCAATAGCATGACCGATGAACAGCTCGCCGTCGATGTCTCCCGTCCCTAAGCCGACAGCGGTGCGCAACAGCTGTCCGCGCAACCCAGCGCGCCTCGCGACGAGTCTCTGTCTGCGACGACCGCCGTCTTCGCGGTCGCCTGAGCGGCGCGCCGGCCGCAGCGGGAGCGCCGGCCGGCGCGGTGTCGTCAGCGGGGGAGGGGGGGGGGGCGCTGCCTCCGCTGCCGCCTCGCCCCGCCGTCACGTGCTGAGCGGGTCCGACGGGCCGGGCCGGAACACCCGCAGCTGAGCACACGGAACTCGTGACCTGTAAGCCGCAGTCGGTGCATGCCACTGGAGCACGGCTGCTGCGAACGCAAAAAAAAAACAATGTTCATTGCTCCACTGCATTAGCTTTGAACCTGCCGACGCCCAGATGCTAACGCCCCAGGTGCTGATGCCACAGGTGCTCTTCTTGGTGCTGGGGTGTAACCGCTGCGGGTGGGGGGGCTGGGGCATGTCCCGCCTCAATGATCTTAGAAGTCTAATTTCGCCGGAAGAATGCATGCTTTACACGTTTTCCCATTCAGAATGTCATTTCTAGGCCAGGCCCCGAGACTCCGGTTTGACCCGTCCAATCTTGCTCTGTCTCATTCGATCTCAGAGACACCCGTGTTACACCCATGTTAGTTACAACCATGTTAGTTACACCCATGTCTGGGCGTGTGCCGTGAGTTCGCTGTCAGCCTCCGGGTTACTGTCTCCATGTCCACGTGTGTGGCGTCTGGGCGTCGCCTAGTCCTGCCAGGGCGCACCAGGGCCGGCGCCAGGGCTCGCTCCCGTGGCGTCTGGGAGGTCACCACCGTCCGACGGTGATGCTCGCACCAGGGTGGCGCCAGATCCGCTCCCCTGGCGTCTGGGAGGTCACCGCCGTTCGGTGCCGCTCGCACCAGGGCGCAGCAGGTCCGCTCCCGTGGCGTCTGGGAGGTCACTGCCGTCCGCGGTGCTGCTCGGCACCAGGGCGGCAGCAGGTCCGCTCCCGTGGCGTCTGGGAGGTCACTGCCGTCCGGCGGTGCTGCTCGCACCAGAGCGGCGCCAGGTCCGCTCCCGTGGTGTCTGGGAGGTCACCGCCGTCCGGCGGTACCGCCCGCGCCGGGGCGGCGCCAGGTCCGCTCCCGTGGCGTCTGGGAGGTCACTGCCGTCCGGCGGTGCCGCCCGCGCCGGGGCGGCGCCGGATCCGCCACCGCGGCCTCGCAGGAGGTCATCAACACGAGCCGCCGGCCCTGCGGCACAACCGAACCCAATACTACTGGCCGTAACGGATTCCATGGGCGTCGGTGGCATGCGCTGCACCGCCCTTCCAGACCAATAGTCATATATTGCGCGCTGGCCAGCGGAGCCACGGGCGGAGCCGCCCGCATGAATGATAAAGACCCGATCAGGACGTGCAATAGGGACGATTTCACCGGAGCCGACCGGTATGATTCAGCTCTATTGTCATGCGACGGCGCGTGGCATGTTTGCAAATCCCGGCGCGCGCAGCATATCAATGAGACAGACTGCGGTCGGCGGCCGGTATCGCGTTTAAAAGTCTAACTGCCTGCATTCCAGCCGTGGACTTTAAAGCGGCCGTTGGCAGGCTGTCAGATATGTCTTCACGTATATGGGCTTCGTTTGAAACCGCCTGGGTGATTTCTGGTATTCACCCACGCACCCATTATAGAGGGATAATGAATGGGATGGTATTGTGCGGCATTCCCAGTACTGCGGCATGATCTGGGAAGTTTAAACATTGCGCTGCTATGTTTCGTCGAAGGGTGATGGCATATGTGTTCGTATTGCAACATCTCCCTGTTAAGTCCCCTGAAGTCATCCATGACACACGCGGGCAAGTCTCCCTGAAGATGTGAAGCTCTGACCGCCTCGTTTGGTCGCCACGAGGCAGTTAACTATGCCCTACCCTACGAAGCTGGTGAAGTCGACACACCTGGTTGACCTGTGTCAGGCCCACGTTCAGCACCGAAGGACGCCACGTTCCGGGCCAGATTACAAGGAAAACAATGACAGTCCGGAGCTGTCCACGCTAATGCGTGGGAGGAACATCAAACTCCCGCGCTGGAAGTGCGACACCAATCAGCAGGGCTAGACGGCACCACTGAAGCAGTCTTGCCCCAGTCAGACCCGTATCCCTGAGAACCGAGTGATGCGAGACGACAGGCTGATTCTCCCTGCTCTCGCGGTTCCAGAGCTGCAGGCGTCTCTGGATCACTTCTCACCCGAGAATACCACGAGGTTCTCCGAGATTCTCTTCGACATTCAGAAGTACCAGATCATCGTCGGCGCCAGGTGAGCCCACGCGAGTTCGTCCGATGCCGGCGAGGCTCATCAGCCCCCCCCCCCGCCCCTCCCCCTCCCCAGCAGGTGACAGGTGATCAGCCCTTCGACCGCATCATTAGCCTGCCGGTCACCGGTCCCCATTAGGTCTGATCGCTCTGTAACTGTTCCCAGAGGCGCTCAGCGCCGCACCTATGTTCGCGCCGGGCGCGTGATTCATTCCTCTCCGCCTAATCACCAAAAGTATCAAAGCGATCGCCAAGATCCCGTCACTGGTCCGACCGGTCGCGCTCACACGTGCTCCTGCCCGGCCGCACTGGACACTCGTGCCGACGGTGCGGAGCGCGCGCCATCGCTTCAAATTAACGCTTCGTGCGATTCGTCTTTCTCGAGTTGGTGCGGGAGCATGTGGCGTCATCGTCGGCGTCCTGAAGTTCTGACCCAGCGAACCGAACTTGCGCCCGAAATATGACGAGCTCTCCTGCGACAGTGGCGTAAGAGTTCGTAACGCGACTGACAAATGTGACAATTGTGTCAATAGTTGGTGTAGTGTGTTTGCACCGCAGTAAGCGCCCGCGCTCGCGTTAGGACCGCCTATGGGTTTGCAGGAGTCGAGTGTTTCCGTGGCGGCTCACGCGATACGTGCTCTTCCGACCGGCCTCTTGTTTGTGCTCCGCACCGTTCGCCAATGAGGGAGCAATGCGGCTACGGCTTGTGCTGCCCTCAGATAGACGGTCTGCCGTCGCTTTTTGACTCCTGCATTTACCTGCATCCCCCGCTCGAACCACTTTCGCTCATCCGCTCATCCGAGTGAGCCCGTTCCCGCCGCCGCCCTGGCCGCTCCTCAGACCACCCGTCTGCGCCCGCGGTCGCCGCTCCCACCGGCCTGACGTGCCGCCGTCGCCGCAGGGACCACCTGTACCGGCTCAGCGTGCGTGGCCTGCAGGAGCTCGAGTCGGCGCCTTGGCCGGCGCCCGCCGCCACCGTCACCATGTGCGAGAACAAGGGCCAGACGGCCGCCGACTGCCACAACTTCGTGCGCGTGCTGCACCGGCACGGCGAGCGGCTGCTGGCGTGCGGCACCAACGCCTTCCAGCCGCTCTGCTCGTGGCGTCGCCTCAGCTCCCTCCGCTCGGTGCTCGCCACCGAGTCGGGCATCGCCGTCAGCCCGTACGCGCCGCAGCTGAACGTGACGTCGCTGGTGACGTCAGAGGGCGCCGTATTCGCCGCCACGCCGACCGACTTCTCGGGGCTCGACCCGGCGATCTTCCGCGGCGGCGGCGGCGGCGCGCCCAGCCTGCGCACGAGCAAGTACGACAGCCGTCTGCTCAGCGCGCCCGACTTCGTCGGCTCGTTCGAGTCCGGCCCGTTCGTCTACTTCGTGTTCCGCGAGGACGCCGTCGAGTACATGAGCTGCGGCAAGGTGAGCGGGGCGCTGACCCTGCGCGTTGACCCTGCGCGCTGACCCTGCGCGCTGCCCCCGGCCTGTCATTAGTGGGGCCGGTGGGCGGGCGGGCCGGCGTCGCGCCGGACAGGCGCCGGTAGCTGGGCGGCGCTCCCGCCTCTGCTGTGTCACCGGCGACTCTCGCCGCCGCCGGCCGCTCGTTTGGCAGCTCTGACCGGTCATATGGAAGCCGCGTTGGCGTCAGTCCGCGAGCGGCCACGTGACAGTCAAACGGCAGCCAATCTCCGTACCGTTCGCTCACGCGTGCGCAGTGACCGACTTCACGTCGGCTGCACGAGGCGCTGGCCGCGGAGATCTCACTGTGGAAACGTTTTATGATGCAGCTGTGCGGCAACGGTGGGAGAAAACTCCGCACACGTTGACAGATGGTGTCATTATTACCATGGCGCAGTCAAGCGTCATGCTATGACGATGCACGGCATTTGATCCTTGCTGCAATACATTATGACAGCGTTATTGCTCCACATCTCGTTGATGGCAGGGTATGATATTTTACACTCACTGGCCGGAGCCGTGATCCCACTCATGCCTCAATTCGTTTTCCGCGTCCTTTAGAGTATGCTTGATTCGCAGGCGATCAGTTGCCCGGTTACGTAGTTGTAGCGTGCTTCTGGCCATCGTGGGACCTTGCAGCCCACCTTGTGACGACCTTGCCTCGTTGCCAGCGTGTGTACTCCCGGATCGCGCGGGTGTGCAAGAACGACCGCGGCGACCGGCGCCAGGTGTGGACGACGGCCGTGAAGGCGCGCCTCAACTGCTCCGTGTCGGGCGAGTACCCGTTCTACCTGGACGAGGTGCAGGGCGTGCACTACCTGGACCGCGAGGAGGTGCTCTACGCCACGTTCACCACCTCCGAGTGAGTGCGCGCAGGCGCCCGGTCGTGCCGCGCGGTCTGTGTGCCCAAGCGGCTGCTTCGGCTGATTGGGTGTGGGTGTGTGGGTGCTGTGTCAATCGGACGGACGGCCAAGGGGGGGGGGGAGGGGGAGAGACCTTGGCAGTGTCCTTCGATGCTGGTGCGAGCCACTTCCTGTGGCTGGGAGGGGAACATCTGTTTACTGCCGGTGCGAAGATGGGTTAACGTGGGTACTCGGCATGCAGCCTTGTGAGAGGCAGGCATTGGTTGGTCGTTGACCATCGCATAGGCCAACGTAAATGGCCCCGCGCCAAATAGGGACGAACATTGGACACCAACCAACATAACTGGTACCGGAACAGGACCAAGCGGATTTTGGGGGTGTGCCGTTGAAAAAAACATATGTTTTGCAATGGGTCATTACTTGTTGCTTTCATGGTAATTTGGCTGGAGGCAGTTGGTTTATAATTCCAGTGAACAGTTGCTGTTGATCAAAATTTGAACTTCGATCTTTCAAACATGGGAATTGGCGGCCGCTAGTAAAAGAATGATCTCCCACATTTCAACGTATATCGTCCATACAATAATTTTATGCCAACGAAGGGTCTTGTGAACGGATACAATATAGCGTCGTAACAGAATGTGAGCTGTCTATCCAATTAGCTAAGAGAGTGTGTATTTATTTTTCCTGGAAAGAAAGACTCCAAATTATCCTCTCCTCGGCATCCCTGCCAGCATGATGTTGACAAAGAAACGAAATAAGAAACGGTTGTAGAGTTCCCCGGCAAGCGACATATATCCATTGAACACCGACGGACGGGTCAGTGGACACGGGGTTAGCCGAAAACACGTCAGCTATTCGAGTCTTGAAGCCGGTCCCCTCCGCTTCCCGCGAAGCGCTGCTCACGGAGCGCGGAGTCCCCGCCTCTGTGCAGAGGTGAGTCGGCGCTCGTCTCCAGCAGCCGGCCTCCGGTGGGAGGGAGATTGCTCGGTGTCACGGGAGCAGCGGCCGCCGCCGGGGCCGGCCGGCACCCAGCTAATGTGCCGAGTCAGCCGCCGCGGCCGCCGCTCGCTCCAGAGCCAATTAAAGCCTGCGGTCCGTGGCGCTCGCTGAGCAGCCGCTGAAAAACGACGTCAGCGAAACTGATTGAATTGTCTGGGCTGGGCTTTTGCAATGGTGGGCTGCTAACGCGGGCGTTGTGAAGGCCGTATGCCGGCGGAGTTTCACTTTGGGCCCACCACCTCACGTGTTCCTGTGCTCTGAACCCACTGCAGCAGGTCACGGGAGCTCCTCGGCCTTGAACCCATCACGTCGCGTTACGGAATTCCCCGCTCTGATCGTACCGTCTTGGGTCAGGGAGTCCGTCCGCTTTGAGATCACCACCCCGGGTGGCGGAGTCGGTCTTCTCTAAGTCCGCCATCCCGTCCATGGTACCTGTCCACGCTGATCTCACCATTCCGGGTCACGGAGTCCCGATTGTGACCACACAGTCATCTAATCGGCCGGAGGAAGCCATTAGCAGCAGATGACGTCACGTACGGTGACGCGAGAGTCGTCGATAGGCCGCTAATGAGTTGCCGGCTGTAAGCAGATGCGGCCGATAGACACGCTTGTTTTCACGCCAGTGAGATCGTGCTGACATGTGGCAATACTGAAGTCAGCTGTTCCCACCAGCACAGCTGATGCCCCGTCAAGCGCCTCACGACGTCACGCTGCGGGCAGTTACTAAAGCAGTCTAAGATGCCAAAAGAAGGCTTTTGATGCGCTCGGCTGCAGACACAACTCAAATTTGAATAAGACGTTGGTGATTAATCGATTAATTAACGTTCCGTGCTGACAGCCCGTGACTCGCAAACTCTATTCTGTTAAACGTTTAACTATCAAAAGTCAATTCCATAGCTCCGTGTTGCTATTCACCTGGTGAGCGGCAAACGTGGCTTGTGAATGAATGCTCTCGCACAATGCACGCGAAAACGATGCGTTCTTGGCATTCCATCAATGTTATAAGGACGAATGACTGGCATGTCGCGCGATGCTTGAAAGCATATTTGAAACTCTATTGTCACGCTCGCTTCCTGCAATGCATTCTGGTGTATTAAAGTACAGCGAGAACCGGGGAAATGGATTTTCCACCCGAAGTGAAGGATAGCGCGTTTTTGTACCATTTGGTACCTGGCTGAGTACCTTCACCTGGCCAGATAGGTGAGAAGATGATCTTGTTTGCCGGTTGTTGTTGCATACGATTGTCAGGAATGTAACGTCCCGTCCGGTTGTTGTTGTTGCATACGATTGTCAGGAATGTAACGTCCCGTCCGGTTGTTGTTGTTGCATACGATTGTCAGGAATGTAACGCCCCGCCCGGTTGTTGTTGTTGCATACGATTGTCAGGAAGGCAACGTCCCTCCCGGTTGTTGTTGTTGCATACGATTGTTAGGAATGTAACGTCCCACCCAGTTGTTGTTGTCGCATACGATTATTAGGAATGTAGCGTCCCACCCGGTTGTTGTTGTTGCATACGATTGTCAGGAATGTAATGTCCTGCCCGGTTGTTGTTGTTGCATCAGATTGTCAGGAATGTAACGTCCCTCCCGGTTGTTGTTGTTGCATACGATTGTCAGGGATGTAACGTCCCACAAAAGACTTTTGGACCTTCATGAAGCGCCTTGGGTGCGGAATGATACCCAGCGTACGTAAATAAACCACAGCGTCATCGCCACAGGCGCGGCCATGTCTCGCCCTCTGTCAGCATCATTAGGTTTTGACGCGTTAAGGTCTAATGTGCTGTCACCTTCATATTTAGCATCGGTTTCTTGGAGCGTATAATTTGAACGAGATACCGAGAAGAGTACAAACCGGATTTATCGCCGCAGCAGCGTTTTTGCCAGAAGCGGTACAAGCGCGTTAGTTACCTCGTGCACTTGTGCTACCAAGATGAACCGATTTCTTACGAAAGCACATATTTAACTCGTGCAGGAAAGTTCGGAGAACTGACTTCATAGAAAATCCATGCTCGCGTTTTGAGTCATGGGCAGTGCACCGTGAGGGGATGTAAATCCGGCGTAGGCGGAAGGGACTAATTTCCTTTCACATGCATAGCTCTGAGGGCGCTACTTTTCTAATCCTGAGCCAGCAATGTATCGTGCGTACAAGTCCCAGCTCTCACAAAGCCTACCAACAAAGCCGGTAGCGGCTCCCAGCTCCAGCCTGGAGTCATGCCACGCGGCATTGATGAGTGGCGTCGTTCCCCGAACGTCCGCCTATCTCGGCTGGCATCGACACCGGTCGCTGAGCCTCAATGGGCGGCGCTTCATTGAGCGCGGTCGCCGCGATCGGCGCACCTGCTCGTGCTGACGCTCCCCTCGGTCACGCGCGCCGGCTCTGGCTGCGGAGCTGCTGATCCGCGCCGGGCGTGGCCCGCCGCCCGGCCGCAGATGGCGGCGGCGAGCCGGCGTGCGCCGCCGCTCTTCCCCTCCCCCCTCGGTCATCCTCACCCCGCCAGCGTCACTCTCCCCCTCCCCCTCCCGCATCACTCCCACCCCACCACCGTCACTGCCACCCCACCACCGTCACTATCACCCCACCACCGTCACTACCACCCCACCACCGTCACCCCCACTCCACTACCGTCACACCCACCCCAGTCAGATCGGCTCGCGCCATGCGCGGCTGCTGTGCTGGCGCGCCACGCTGGTCGGCCCCGGCGGACACGTCGGCATTGCCGCCTCTGCCTCAGGACGGGCCGCCGCCGTGTGGTGATTACGGTCCCAAGGACAGCCGAGGCCGCCAGACGATTCGTGTCATGCCGCAGACGCTATTGCGGCGAAATGTTCGCTGGTAGCCGCTGTCTGGTCTATTACAGCGCAGAAGAAACTAGCAGGCTACAGCGTAAACTGGCCGGAAATGAGGCGTCAGTAAGGCTCAATTCAATGCACTGGTCTAGGTGTAAGAGGTTCTTGTTGCAGCGGCCAGGGTCAGGTATGATGCGACCAGTACGCTGAGACCCAGCGCTTGTAACCCGGAACACGCCTCGTTACGGCGTTGCGCTGAATTACGTGGAAGTGCCACAAAGATGCAATTTTTCAGCATTACCGTAGCCTGCTGGAGATTAGCAGCCAACTACGAGTAGCAGTTGCAATTTGTGTTTAGTACAGAGTTTTTACACACGGTAATGTACATGGCAATGAAACAGGGTGCTGCAGTACTAAATAACGCGCATTTGGTGTGGGCCGGCAGGGTCCCGGGAGCAGAGGAGTTTTACCAGGATTGGGAGGCCTCAGAAGCACTTCGATTCGTTTCTTTACAGGCACTGCTGAAAGCCTAAAGCTTAATTTTCCCAAATGTGTGTGTGGAAGGGGGGGGAGAGGAGGCAGGGACTCGGGCCACCTAAAGGCTGCTCATATCACGATGACTTCCGCGTCTATCTATGACCTGGTCCCTCCGTGGCCACCTTCGTCGCCGGATATATCTTAGCTTATCCCCCCCCCCCTCCCCGCCAGTAGACAGCTCCATCTCACGCCGCCCGGGTTCGGCCGGTGCCGCCGGAGCAGTCCGGCGAAGCGAGCGGCGGCCGCCTCCAGACCGCTCCGTCCGCCTCAGCGTTCTGACGCGCTTCCGTCCCGCCCGCAGCAACGGCCTGGCCGCATCCGCCGTGTGCGCCTTCAACATGTCGGCGATCGCGTCGGCGTTCGCCGGGCCGTTCCAGCACCAGCCGGTGCCGGACGGCGCGTGGCAGCGGCGTCAGCTGGACCACACACACTTCGAGTGCGGCTCGCCTGAGCTGACCTCGCGCCACGAGCTGGCCGAGCTGTCGCACTACTCGCTGATGCACGAGGCCGTACAGCCTGAGCAGCTGGACCCGCTGTACAGGCTGGACGGTGTCAGGTCAGTGCTGGTCAATGGGAGGGGAGGGGCAGCTGGACCTCTGTACCGGCTGGACGGTGTCAGGTTTTGCAGGTCGGCTCGGGGTTAGGGGCGGAGGAGGGGTTAGGGAAATCCAGACGGCAGAGGAGGTCCCGATCCTGCAGCTCTTGGAAACTGTGTGCTGTGAGCTGACGCGGCGAGTTTGATTCGGAAATCAAACTGGCGTAGTCGGCCAGCTAAAACAGTTGTATATGTTCCCAGAGCGACGCGTTTTGTCGTTTGTCGTACTGCGTATTTTTTCAAAACTTCAAATGCAGTGCGATGCTTGAAAGGTGGTCATTATTAATCAATGGCGTGTGTGCATTTTAGAAGTGTCTGCTGCCAGGGATGTTGGGGGCAATGCGCTGATACAGTAGCATGGCTGGTTATGTCAAACCATCGTTTAGACTTGCAACATTTTTCAACAGCCTTCAATCATAGTGCACATCTGTTGTGTCACAAGATGTACCCAGCATACGCTCCTCGCAAAATGGTTGTGACGTCACATGAGGTTGGTTTTAGGTGGCGCCTTCAAAACACACAGCCTCTCATCAACAAAGGACTGTTGACGCCGCTCTATCGGCGCACATCAAACTCTTCCCCGTCCCGTGTCTTGACCGTGTCCTGCATCCCGCGGCGCAGACTGACGGCCGTCGCCACTGACATCATCACCACCAAGCACCACGTGTCGGTGCACGTGCTGTTCGTGGCGGACACGGCCGGCACCATCAGGAAGCTGAGCGTGGTGCCGCGCTCGCGGCAGACGTGCCTGCTGGAGGTGCTGCAGCCGTTCGCGGCGCCCACCACCATCCTCACCATGAGGCTGCTGAGCGAGGCGGTGAGTGTCCCAGGGTGTTCCAACGGCGTTTGTGTTCAGAAACTTGGCGCCAGTGTCGACTTCAGCCGCTGCAAATGAAATGGATAAACGTGCGCGAACCCGTTCGGTTTTGAGGGTATTTACCGAGCTGTCCGCGGAATGATATTGCGTTCAACTTCCTGGGAGTGTCAAGGCGTGCATTACCAAGGCATAAGCATGGACTGAAAACTAGTGTTTGTTGTGCATGTCATCCCGCTCCCCGTCACAGCGGTGCATCTGGGTATAGCCTATATCCTGATGCATTTGCTGTCCGGTCCTGTGACCCCGCTAAGCCCTGTCCTGGGGGGGTATAAGGAGGGGGGGGGGGGGCGCGAACAGGCCTGGTATTGTTCCACGTCTTGACCGGCCCTCCTCTCCCACAGGGCTCTTTGTACCTGGGCACGGACTCGGCGCTGGTGCGTGTGCCGGTGCAGCGCTGCGAGCGGTACCGGAGCGAGACCAGCTGCCTGGGCGCCATGGACCCGTACTGCGGCTGGGACGCGGCGCGCGCCCTCTGCAGCCCGCCACCCGGCCGCAGTCCGGACGCACCCTCCTGGCGGCAGCCGGTGACACAGTGCCCCGACCTCAGCCGACCCGTCGACGGCGGCTGGAGCGCCTGGAGCGCATGGCGCCAGTGCCGGCAGGTGGTCGAGGGCGAGGACGCCGGCGAGCCGTGCCTGTGCCGGCGGCGCGCCTGCTCGAGCCCGACGCCGGCGCGCGGCGGCGCGCAGTGCGCCGGCCTCGCCGCCCAGGTCACAAATTGCACGCGCCACGGCGGCTGGACCGGCTGGTCGGCCTGGTCGGCGTGCTCACACCCGTGCGGCGTGGCCATCAAGTCGCGGCGCCGCTCGTGCGCCAACCCGTCGCCGGTGCACGGCGGCCGCGGCTGCACCGGCGCCGATGCGCAGGAGATCATGTGCCACTCGAACCCGCCGTGCCCCACCGAGACCACCCTGCCGGTGGACGGCGGCTGGGGGCGCTGGGGCAGCTGGGGCCGCTGCTCGGCGCGCTGCGGCGGCGGCTTCCGGCGGCGGCGGCGCGCCTGCGACAGCCCGCGCCCCGTCAACGGCGGCCGGCCGTGCCTCGGCTGCGACCTGGAGTACGGCGCGTGCGGCGCGCAGCCGTGCGCCGAGCAGCGCCGGCTCACCGGCTGGACGCCGTGGCTGGCGGCCAACGGCAGCGATGGCCGCCAGCAGCGGTTCCGGTTCGAGTGCGCGGCGCCGGTGGCGGAGCCCGGCCTGATCCGGGTGTCGTCAGTCCGGCTGGACGAGCGGCACTGTGACGCCGATGGACGCTGCTCGCCAGGTAAGGATCCCCGCTCATCTGGCGCCATCCTCTCGCCGCTCGCCATCCCCTCTACCTGGGCGATGCCCTCCCTCGCCTCATGTTGTCACCTGTCACTATCCCCCTTGCCTATTTCCTGATATCTGTAGTCGGATCTCACGCTGTCTCGCTCGCCAGATTCTCCAACATCTGATCTTCCCCGTTGCCTTTATCTCGTCCTCACCCACCAACCTATGGCTTGTGGCAAGTTCTATATTGCCAGGATGAAGGAGGTATCTCTTAATTTTGTACCCTCTTCTCTGACGAAGTAGGGTCATGTGGAGATGCAACAGAGCCACGGAACGAGGTTGCGTGCATGTTCAGATTACGTTATTTGCAATTAAAAGCTGTCGGCTAATTTGACCTCAGATAATTTGCTGCCTAAGTGCTTGTGCCATTATCGATGGCATGAATGTGCACCTTGGAGCCCTGAGCCCGTTTTAGGCTTCAGCTCCCAGAACGCTACTGGATTACCTAAGAAACTTATCAGTTAATATGGTTTGTTTACCGGGTACGTTCGTCTTCCATGTGACATCGGCTGTCCCTAATACCTCACACACGCTTGTCTACGTTCCCCTAACGGTCCACGCCATGGTTTCGTGCTGCAGCCAACTGGACGGGCCTGGGCTGGGGCGACTGGAGTCCGTGGTCCGAGTGTTCCGTCCCTTGCGGCGGCGGTGTGCAGACCAAGTCTCGCACGTGCGACGGAGACAGCGCCGCCTGTCTGGGACCCAGCCGCGTGGAGCAGGAGTGTAACGTTCAACGCTGCAAAGGTAAGCCTCGATGACGCGATGGGGGGCAGCTTACGCAGTTCGAGCGTTGCTTACGCACATGAATTAATGATGAAATGTGCATTTTTCTGTGGTCCGTACGCGCGTGTTTGTTTTTAGGGGCTCTGTGATGGGTGAACAGATACGACCAACTGCAACCAAGTACAGGACTCATTCACACTAGCGTAAGAGAAACCCCTGGTGCTTGGATGTACCGGGGCCTTCTGGATCCGTGGCCGCCTGTGCTCAAGGGCACACATCATGAAGTCACGGGACGGCCGGGCATGCCAAGAGCCACGGCCTTGCCTTGTGCGGAGGACGGATGTGATGGGGGGGGGGGGGGGGGGGGGGCACTGCATCCGACTGCAGCTGGAGCCGCGAGGGCCGGCCGACGCTGACCGGGTGGTCCCGGGTCCTCAGGCGACTGGTCCTGCTGGTCCGAGTGGTCCGCCTGCAGCGTCGCCTGCGGTGGGGGCCGTCGCCGGCGCGACAGAGAGTGCCGGGCGACTGCGGCCGCCGGCTCCGCCGACGTGATCTGCGACGGTGCTGCCACCTCTGAGGAGCCGTGCGAAATGACCAGCTGCACGAGCCTTGAGGGGTGGAATCAATGGTACGAACTACGAACTTTAACTTTTGACATCTTGTGACTTGAACGCGATGGCGAAAGGTGGATGGAGGAGCTAACTGGAACTTTCCTTAATATGGCCAAAGTTAGGAAAAACCGATAATTTCTGAACTTCGAAAAACATTTCAATAATGGAAGTTTGTTTTGGAGCACTGCTTTGAAAGTCAAGGCACCTTCCGGACATTGGCTCGGCACAATGGCTTGAGCAGAATATTGCGCCGCGCATAGTTCAAGTCCCTCTCGCCGGCGCGGTCTGGAGCAGTGTCGGCTGCCGAGCGGGTCTCCCTGGCGCGTACAGCGCGCCGCACCGCCAGCCCGCCTGGCGCGCCTGACCTGCACGCCCGTGCCCCCGCCGCCAGGTCCGTGTGGAGCCTGTGCGACGCACGCGGCGAGCAGCACCGCGCCCGCCACTGCATGGTCTCGGAGCCGGGCGGCGAGCTGTGCCAGGGCGAAGACCGCCAGGCCCGGCTCTGCGTCGACACCGGCGACGGTAGGTGTCGCCACCAGCGGGCTGAGGGCTGCGGAAATGCCCGGTCGGTCCCCCGCCGCGGCAGTGTTGAGATTCTTGCTGGTCTTAGGCGGTGGACCAAGTGCCACTGACCGAAGCCCGGTCGATTTGAGTGGGGTAATCAGTAGGTGTTGATTTCATTCCCGCGTTGAATGCTGCAAGGCTAGTGGCGGGTTGTGGAATGTTTTTGGGTATGAAATGAAGCTACTTAAAATCTTGCGTAGTTCTGCTGTACATTAGATAAATGTGCTTAACTGGCCACTCGAAGGCCGGGGCTGTCCCACAACAGCGGAGTGACGAGTGGTCACTCCTCCCTGGCGAGCCCCCCGTAAGTGGGCCCGTTTGCAACAGCGCCGCCACAACGCCCTCTCCCTGCAGAGAGCGTACTGTTGGCGGCCACGGGCACCGCGCCGGCCATCGGCACCGGCCGCATGGTGGCCGCCTGCCTCGGCTGCTTCTGCACCGGCGCCCTGCTGGCGACCGTCTGCACGTACTACCACCTGACGCGGCGGCGCCACCCGGGCGTGCGCTCCTCTAAGTACTACGACGCGCTGCCGAAGGCGGTCAGCCCCAACGCGTACGTGACGGTGCGCGGCGTGCCGGGCGTGCACGAGCTGGCCGAGCTGAAGAACGGCCGCCGCCGCAACGGCTCGGTCAAGGGCGGCGAGCTGGTCTCGGAGAAGACGGCCACCATCCGCCGCAGCGGCAGCACCCGCTACAACCCGGTGAGCGCGGCCGAGCTGCGCGCCAACCTCGCCTCGGACGCCATCTATTGAGCACCGTGCTCCCGCGGAGCACAGCCTCGAGTACAAAACGCGTGCAGGCGCCGCGACAGACGTGAAACGCTTCGCGGCCCGCTGATGTGTGTTCTGTGAGTGCGTGTGGTGCGGCGCGCAGTGTGGCGTGAGCGATTTGTGATCATTGTTTTCATTGTGACTCGTGTTTGCAGGTCATTTCATCTTCGTAAATGTGGACGATTAACATTGCGCGGTGATGGCACGGGTGCCTGCCATAACACTTTTGCTGCACAGGGCTGGGCTCTGCAGGGCTCGCGTTCGCGCGGGGTCTCTTCAGCCCCGCACAAGACTTGCGAACAAATGACGTCAGCGGTTGCGCTTGGTTTGAAATGCAAGTCGTTTCAAGCCGAAGCGCAGAGCCGGCTGAGTTTTCCGATCATGCTTTTGATGGCGGTTCATCTTTGCCGTCAAGTGGAGATGCCTCTTATTCTACATCGGATAGCAACGCTGCGTCACAGTTGTGCCGATGACGATCCACGTCATCGTGAGACAGCAGCCCGGGCCAGGCCGCCACACGTCGCGGAAAGGCGGGCCGGCAGGCATCACTAGCATTTTGAGGTAAATGTGGATCGGTGTGTAGGTGCCAATTGAGATGCGTGGCGTGTTCCGTCTGGGGGCACGAGGAACCTGGTGTTGTCGGCGGCACGGGAGCCGCCCGTGCCGTGCTCCTGTTTCCCAATGCTGTTGCTCGACGCTCTCAGTGTCGCCCCCAATCACGTGATGCTGAAATACACCGGATGAGATTATTGTCAGTAGTTTCAATGCATCGGCTTCCGCAGCCTGCGGGACCGTGGATGCCAGCCGCTGGCTTCGGCTCCGCCACCGGGCGGCCTTCAAAACGTAACCAGCGCCTGCCCGGGTTCCAACACCGTGTCAGTCAGATCCGCGGCGACGAGCGGCGCGTCCTGTCCGCGAGAACGTTCGTTCGCCGCTTCGGGCTCAGTTGACAGCCTTCATATGCGGGTACTTCGGCAGTCTCGGAGCGCACCGATCGTGCACGTGCGCGCCTCAATGAATCGGACCACGGCTGGGAGTTGAAGCGCGTTTGGGCGTCGGTGTCTGCGCGCTGTGCGACGGTTCCTAATTCTCGAGAGCTTGATTTACACCCGCGCGGGCTCAGAGGGGAGAAAACATCGCTAGCACGCACCGATATGCAGACCACGCCACCAGCAAGCTATGCGAGTACAATCATAAATCGATTTTTATTTTCAAATATAACGCGTTGTGGGGCAGGACTGTGCAGTTATCGCGGCATTCATCGCACTGTCATGTATCAACAAGAGAGCCGGGGAAGCGCAACTACTACGCAACAAGCGCTTCATCTGCTCCTTCCAGGTTCCAAACCACCCACAGCGTATGCGTAAATTGCGGGCGATGCTTCATACCAAAGTTCCACAAATAAGGTCACCAAGCATGGCGCGAGTCGCATCGAGTGCACATCGAGCGCCAAACATCGAAGCCGCGTCCATTCCCACGAGCCTCATCCTGCTTCAACCCAACCTGTTCGCATCGCAAGTGGCTGATCGCTCCCACATCCGCAACACCCGCGGCTGATCGCTACCACGTCCGCATCGCATGTGGCTGATCGCTCTCACGTCCGCATCGCATGTGGCTGATCGCTCCCACGTCCGCAACGCATATGGCTGATCGCTCCCACGTCTGCAACACCCGCGGCTGACCGCTCTCACGTCCGCATCGCATGTGGCTGACCGCTCTCACGTCCGCGCCACCGCGGCTGATCGCTCTCACGTCCGCATCGCATGTGGCTGACCGCTCTCACGTCCGCGCCATACGTGGCTGATCGCTTCCACTCGTGCTCGCGGCGCTACCGGTCACCATGAGACGCCCAGAGATCAGCCACCGACCGACCATCACGTGGGTCAAGCCAGCGCCGACGCGAGGCTCTGCGTCCGGCGGTCAGACGGAGCCGATGCCGTCAGGTGGTGGCCCGGCTGCCGTCCGGGCCGGCCGGCGCTCGCTAGCTCGGCCAGCTCCCAGCCGGCTGACAAACCTCTACTCGACGCCGTGTTTGCTGGCGAGCGCGCGCCGCCGGTACAGCCAGTACTGCTCACGTATCGTGTCGTGCTCGGCGGCCAGCTCGGCGCAGAGCCGCAGCGCGCGCTGCAGCGCCGCCTCGTCGCCGGCGGCGGCGCCCTCGGCGCTGGCGTCCACCACGAACGCCAGCAGCTGCGGCGCGCGGCAGCCGGCCGCTATGAGACCGTCGCAGAATTCGGTCACGTCCGACGCGCCGGCCAGCCCCTCCGGCGCGTGGAACAGCACGCCGCGCAGGTAGTTCCAGGCCGACTCGTTGTTCTTGACCTTGCGCAGCGCGCCCAGGCAGAAGGCGACCTCGCGCGCCACCGCCTCGGCCGTGAAGCCGGTCGTGTTGTTGACGACGAAGTAGCGCTGGTTCCAGGCCGAGTTGTTGCGCACGTCCTCGTCGATGAGCCGCTCGGCGAACTCCAGCTCGCCGTCGAACAGGTCGAAGCGCCGCACGGCCCACTGGCGGTACTGCCAGGCGTGGAAGTTCTTGGGGTCCTGCGCCAGCACGAGCTCGGTCAGGCGGCGCTCGTCGCCCGGCCGGCCGCGCCGCTCCACCAGCACGCGCCGGTGGTGCCACACCTGGTAGTTCTTGGGGTGGTCCTCGATCATGCGCCGGATGAAGTCGAGCTCGGGCTGCAGCGGGCAGCCGAGCTCCAGCAGCAGGTGGCGCCGGTGGTGCCAGACGGTGTAGTTGGCGGCGTTCAGCTCCAGCGCCGCCGACGTCAGCCGCAGCGCGCGGCCGGACACCTCGCCCGAGCGCAGCACGGCGCGGAAGTAGTCGTGCACGTCGGAGAAGCGCTCCGAGTAGAGGATGCGCACCACCGGGTGCGGCCCGTCGTCCTGCGGCAGCGGCGTCACGTCCCGCCACTCGTCCCGGTCGGAATACGGCACCCAGTCGGGGTCGTCCACGCTCGTCTCCTCGAACATGGCCGACGCCGACGACGCGTCCCCGCCCCCGTCCGCCGACATGGCCACTGAGGCTGGTGGGGGGCTCAGGCTGAGGCCCACTGGGGGCTGCCGTGTAGGCTGTGCCACAAGATGGCACCTGGTATGCTTGTTTAGTTTCCTGCAATGGAAACAGATCATATGCCTAAGCACAGAATGTACTTAACACACATAACTGGATGCCACATTGTGCCAAAGGAGCCACATGGCGTCAGTACAGTACTTACATGCATGACTGTTAACTGATGACCAAGTGGAATGTTATATTTCATGACTCATTTGTAAACACAAACAGGTTTCTCAATGTTTCAAATGGATGAAACCACAAATAACAAGACTAATTATCAACTTACTGCTTGCCTCTTGGGCTTTTTCCATCTCATCTGTCATCCATAACAACATGACTGAACTATAATAGCATTTTGAGCAGGCCATACTTGTTACAAGGAACATGTCATCCTATCACAGTTCAATTAAGTTCAACTCATGCCACACTATTTACATGAACCAGCCTATTACTCCCTCATATTTCTTGGCACACACAAATCAACTCTTTATAATTACAATCAGACTTAAATAGAAAAAAATGAAGTAACTACCCACATAGCTGCCAAGATAAGCTTTGGAAACAACAGGCTAAGTAAGAAATACAAATTTGGGCATTTTGGCAGATTGAACTAGTAACTGTTACCATAGTTTAAACAGCCATATTGCACATTTTCAGGTATTGGCCCCCTAAAAAAAAACTGCTACCAGATGAGTGTTATTATTGAATCATTTGGCAAATACTGCTTAAACCAGAGCCTGCAAAAACAATTCCATGTTTGACCAGCAATGGAAAAAACATCACCTGGTTGGTGAATCTTATAATTGCAAATATGGTGGTATGAAGAGCAGCCTTAGGGACTCTGTAGTTAGCAGGCTAAACAACATGTTTGCATCACAACACCAATAATGAGAAAGCATGATCTCACATCACCAGTAATGAGAAAGCATGATCTCAGATAACATGCATTAGGCATAAAAAATGTTTGTATAATAGTCACATTTTTAATCTAAAAATTGGTGCACTGATCCATGAGTAGGACTAGCATAAAGTAAGGGTACTTTTATGGTTTAGGCCGGTACAAATCCCCACAAAGTTATAAGGGTACTCAATCTTGGATCCTTAAGTAAATGACCACAACATGTTTGTTAATCAAAATTGGCAAAGGTCATATTAAGTTATTATACTGTGATGCAACACCTATCATCACCCTCCATGAAGAACAATTAGGCTGTGCATACACAATCTCCAAAATGGAGGGTGCTTATGCACCGGGCTTTTACGCACTCCAAAATGGAGGGTGGCTACGCACTGGGCTAAAAACGCACCTTCTAAAAATCTTGCTGAAGCAAATTCAAACATGCACAATCCCGTGCGAACAGTCGGCTCAGGGCGTTATATGCATGAGGCGATCACGAGATCCGAATGGGAATAAATTCTACCTTTTTTATCGGCTTTTCATATCGGACAGAAGCGTAGTTTCTAATGCCTAGGGGAGGAAGTCCACACTCTACAGAGATGTTGAGCATGCCGTGAACGTTGGCAGTAAATCTAAATGAGGCCAGCAACTTGTATAAATACGGGCAGTCCTATTTCACCTGGGAATGTTCAACCATAAGTCAGAATCAATTAGTGAAAAGTTAGGTGCACACTACCCCTCTGGGCAATTCCTTAAAGATCATTCCGTCCCAGCCCGGGGTGTCTACCGGCTGCATTCTGGTGAGGCGGGTTCGCCTGATGGGTTCGTCCGGAGGCCCCAACAGATATACATCCTACATTGGTGCCCTTCCTGGCGCGGAAGGCCCTCTGGCGGCTTCTGGGCGGAACAGTTGGCGCCGGATACGCGCAAAAGCCCTCATTGGTGCAACAACATCCCTGATAACCACATGTGGTCCAATAACTGGCACAGAGACCCATGTTTGGCCAACAGGGCCCTGGCTAAGACGAGGTGAAGGGCCCGAAAGGGCCCAGGGTCACCCCTGGCCCACTCGGGACTCCTGTCACAAGACCCCGTTGGACACTCCTTGGGCCTGACCGTCAAAAGACCACTCATTGCTGTAGGGGCTCCGACCAATGCAAATCGCGGGCCTCGGCCTCGTTCCTGCTGGAGAAATCGGGCACCAGGGCTCAGAGCAGCACGGAGTCAACTATTCCAACTATTCGGTGTAGTGGTCTCCAGCCGAAATAGGTGCCCGTATTGTCCCAGGGGCCCACAATTGGTGAAAAAGGCATATTGGCTCTTATTTGGGATCACAGCCATATGGGCCAGGACGACCTGCAGCCTTTCGACCCTTACAGCCATTCAGCCTTCCCATCAGGCCATTGATCGTCAGTCTTGAAGGGCACATCGGTCCCTCTTCGGGTACCCTCGAACACTCCCTGACCAACTCGGGGGCCCTTGTCAATGCCGGACCTCCAGTTAGGCGATATGTGTCCCTGGCCAACACGGGACCCTTCACTGGCTCCGGGTGCGCCGAGCAATGTAAATCGTGGGTTCTGACCTTGTCCCTGGTTGGGAAATAGACTCCCAGGTCCAGACCAGGGTCTAATCGGTGCAACGGGCTCTCTGGCTGGTATCTGATGGTCCGATCCGCACCTTCTTAATGGCCTTTTGCCAGTGCTTTGGGTTTCATATCGGATTTACGGTGCTCCCATTCACGTTTTTTTCATGGTCACCTGAATGACACTTCAGGCTTACGAGCAACCACTTTCTCCCCATGTCAGTCTGGTGTCAAGAGCAAACTGAGTTCAGGGGGGCAAAAAAGTAGAAAATAACAAAAGTATCCTCCCAAAACCTGTGGTAACAAGTGAGTTTCTCCTCAAATTTGGTCTCCTTCTTTGAGGAGCCCAAATAAGGGAGAGAGGGGGTGTCCTCAAGGACATAGAAAACTGCAAGACTTTCCAGAACTATGGACATGGGCTATTTCTTTCAGACAGGCATGATATGACCATTACTTTTGCCACCATTTAAATGGCATGGGATGTGGGTGTCTGTACTGATCATATTACTGTGCAGGGACCCCAATATCACCAGGATTAGAACCCAGGCTTACTGGGTGACAGCCAGATGTGCTAACAGCCTGGCCACTGCACATCTGGGTTCAAACTTCTACAGTTCACAAATACAGAAAATTGGTTTCAATTAAATGGAGAAAATTTGATGATCCATGTTTATAGCTAATATTACCTATTTTCTTTGACTCACAACTCTAGCTTTTCCTTATTTCAGTAAGTATATTGTTCAATCAGCAGATTTTTGAAAGGTGTATTACTGAATGGGCCCTCTGTGTGGTCTTTCTCCACTTTGGAGGATGTATATGCTGGGTGCATAACTGCCCTCTGCTTTTGAGCATGTACGAGCCCAGTTTGTAACCGCTCTCCACTTTGGAGAGTGCATACACACTGCCAAAAAATCATAATTTCATACTATCAGAAGTTTTTAGGCCAGAGGCATACTAAAACAATTTTTTTTAAAAAAAATCTTGAAAGCATAGCTTGGCAGTACTCACTGCATGTCGCAGTCTCTTACACTTGCAAGGATAGGATAGGAATAGCACGTCATTTGAGCTGTTTCTGTCCTTTATCTCAAACGAATCCAGAGAAAATCCCCAGAAATGTGAATAGCGAGACATGGCTACACGACGTATTGCCTGGCATCAACCATCGTAAGACTCGCACTTCCCACAACGGCGTCAATCAACCATATCCGGTGTAATAACCATTCGACATTGGCATGATCTGATCAAATATAATTTTTGGGATACTTCTGGCACCCTCATTTCGCTCTATGTGCCACACAAATATACTCAATACTATCTTACCAACCACAGACGACCCACCGGCTCCCAAACTTGCAGTGCGATTACCCAGATTCAGTTGAAGATGAAATTCCCAAACATTTTCAGCTGATTTGCTGGTGACGTCATAAGATCATATTATCATCGCCCACCTTTCAATAATTATGCACGGGCTACACGAGATCGGATGGCCAGGGGCGTCAATTTATATATTTTCGGAGCGACGAACCCCCATACTTACGTGAACTCCCTCATGCTCCTCTTAGCCCCCTCAATGCACATGAGCAAGCAGGAAATCCTGGGCCAAGTAAATACAGAACAATTATCGTAATTATTGGTGTGCTAGGTGTAGATGCCTAAAGGCATCACAATGGGCATCTTGTACATTTTATGCAAAACAGTAGCCTTTAGGTTCCTAACGTTTCTGTCATGCTAATCATTCATACGTTTAGCCAGTCTCAATGAGCCCAGACGGGACTGGGCAAGATAGAAGAGATCGGTCTGGACCGGACGAGGCCGAACGGGACTGGACGGATGGCATGGGAACGGACGGAATCGAATGGGACTGGATGAAACTGGGCAGGACTAAAAACAACTGGACAGGACTGAACGGACTCGAGTGGGACCAGGCCAAACCAGACGGAGACCAAACCAGATGGACCGGGCGAGATCAGACGATGCTGGACGGGATCGACTGGGACCAGACGAGACCAGACTGGACCAGACGGGACCTTACCGGGCTAAACCGGACCAGACGGGCCCAGCCTGCTACTATGCGGTTCCGTTGTGATCCGTCCTGTGCCGTCTCTTCCCTTTTGATTACGTCACTTGCCGTCAAATTCGGTGTCCTATCGCGTCAGGTCCTGTATGGTCCCGTCGTCCGCCATTTATTGTCATGCACCTCTACATTACAAACATTTGAACCTGCACAGATTTCTGTTTTTATAGAAGTGCTTAGCAGTGTTGTAAAACGGCCCACGACAGCCCCTGAACCCGAAGTACTTTTCCTAATTCTAGAATGACCCACACTTGCTGGTGTCTTGCGAATGGCATGGTCTGTCGCTGGGCGCGGGAGGGAAGAGCTGCACCTTTAGCTATCAGTTCTCACTGATTGCGTGAGATACCGATCCAAAAGACCTAAAATTGTCAATAATACTCGTCAAGTAATGCATGCTTGGCTTTTTGGACTTCTACTTGCAGTTTAAAATTTACATCTTAAGTGAAACACACCGTTCCTACCGATCTTTTCAACACACGTGGTCAGAGGCTTCATGGCTATTGAGCCTTTGAGCTAGTCATCTGCTGAGTCCGCATTTGTTAGCAGGGCCGGCCGTGCTCGTTCCGTACCTGTATACATAGCCACCGCAGTCGGTCCGTACATATCCACAAACCGCCATGCCTGGGCCCTGGGCACATGCACGGCCACGGTGCTCGTTCCGTGTCTGCCCACATTGCGCCATGTTCGATACATGCCTGCCTATATTGCGCCGCGCTCGGTCCTCGCCTGTCTTCGAGGGTCGGCTGTGCTCGGTCCTCACCCGTCTGCGAGGCCGTCCGTGCTCGGTCCTCGCCTGTCTGCGCGAGTCGGCCGTGCTCGGTCCTCACCTGTCTGCGGGGTCGGCCGTGCTCGGTCCTCACCTGTCTGCGGGGTCGTCCATGCTCGGTGCTCACCCGTTTGCGAGATCGGCTGTGTTCGGTCCTCACCCGTCTGCGAGGTCGGCTGTGCTCGGTTCTCACTTATCTGCGGGGTCACTGAGGGTACCACGCATGTTGCGTTCTTGAAGCGTTCAAGGGCATTTTGATGTTAACAGCCAAAGCAGCATTTCTATAGATAGCTTCACCGAAGAGCAGAACAGAATACACATCTGCGATATCGTTTTTAGCCCGAGCAACGAAAGCTTAACAAATGAGTAGTTTTGGGGCGGCTCATATATTAAGCGAGCATCAATTAGCTCTAGTAAATACGCTTGCGCTATCCGTAAGCGTAGTTCGGTAGACCACGACATTTAGCAGTCGCGGTGGTGTGGATGATGTCGCACAGTTTGGTACCCCTGCAAATATAGCAGCAAGCTGCGAATTCAGAAGGTGAGAGAAATCAAGACGAATCGAACACGACCCGCAAGCAGCGCAACGGTGGCCGGTTTTGAATGCCACCAACAGAAAGGGACGAAACACCTGTCCCATCGACAATAACGCGCACTGACCTCACCTACAACGACCTGCACCCGCGCGATGCGCTGCCGCCAAGCACTTGTTTCCTTCTTGATCCCTGTCATGTACGATCTAACCTACCGACCCCACCGCAGCAGTTGTATTTAGTCACCAACATCATACAGTTCATTTGAGATCAACGCATGTTGATAGTGTGCATTCAGATTTGCAGACATCACGTAATTGCGTGATGTCTGCAAATTTGAATGAAACTTAAGTTTCAATATACTTGTCAGCAGCCCGTTTATTTCGCGCAATGTTGCGTAGACTTGACAACTTGATTGTTGTTCCTGGTTGATATGGAAAAGCAAAGCTACAACACTGCATCCGCATATACACCGATGCATACTACTACCCTGCGCCTGGCCTCTTTGAGGCTTTCTACAGCTGTGGATGCATTCCACTCACGACTCATAACCTGCTAAGCGGACGGCGGACGGCCGCGAGAGCGTGAGCCGGCCGAAAAATCATCGCCACGCAGCAGCGCCCGCTGTTCGCTCCTAGCAGCCGCAGCCGGGCAGCGCCGATCAGGGCGACAGGCAGTGGGCCCAGTCGGGCCAGAAGCGCGCTCGCAGCCGCTCAAAGTAGCGCACCAGGCTGGGGAACTCGCACACCAGCCCGCCCACCGCCGGCGCGCAGCCGGTCATCAGCTGCGTCAGCTGACCGAACACGGCCGCGTCGTACGGCGTCACCTCGTCGCCGAGCAGGTACGGCCTGTCGCCGAGCAGATCGGCGAGGGCGGTCAGGTCACGGTGCATCAGCGCGACCAGCTCCTCCCGGTCGCGGTCCCAGCCGATGCTGCGGAAGCTGGCCGTCGCCCAGAGCGCCGCCAGCGGCCGCAGCAGCCGGTAGCGGCGCCGGTAGCGCGGCGCCATCATCGGCACCAGGTGGCGCATGCCGTCGACGACGAAGCGGTGTGCAGCCACGGCCAGGACCAGGTGCTCGTCCAGCGCCACCTGGACGACGCGGCCGAGCGCGTGCTGCTGCGGTGTCAGCGCCCGGTACGCCGGCAGCGCATGCGGTCGCAGCGTCAACAGGTGCTCTATGATCAGCTCCGAGTCGGTCACGTCGACGCCGTTGACCGTGATCCAGGGGCACTTGCCCTTGGGGCCGAGCGGCTTGCTCGTGTCCACCACGTACTGGAAGCCGGCCATGCGCAGGAACGTCTCCACCTTGAGCGCGAACGGCGACAAGTTGGGCGAGATGGCGGCGCGCGCGAACTGGTGCAGCACGACCACGTCGTGGCCGGCGGCGTCCCAGCGGTGGCGACGCTCGCGGCGCCGCCGCCGCTGGCCGCAGCCACCTCACCGCGTAGACGGCGGCGAGAACAGCGGCCAGCGTGGCCAGGCGGGGGAGCCGACCGCCGCCGCCGCCCCACGGGCCGAGCGGTGACCACCGGCACACCGGCCAGGCCATGGCGCGCGACGACACCCAGACAAGTCACAGGCTTCGGCGACAGAGGTAAGGCCGGCGCCGACGCACGCCGGGCGTCGCTCTTCGGGCGATCGATCCTGTCGCGTCGCGCAGACCGTACCGCTTTCGTGACAGCAGACTCCAAATCGGGCCCACCACGACGACCGGACTCAGGAGTCGGTGCCGCACCAAACTGACGTCCTCCGACGGTCGCTCGACGGCTGCCCAACGCCAACGGCGCGCGAGGCCCGACTACACCACAGACTTGGCGCTGGCCACGTGACGCCGTCGCTGACCTTGGCGTCCGAGCCGGCAGGGGCGCAGCCAGGCCGCGCGCCGTCGGAGGCGCAGCGGCCAACGGAGACAGTCGGGTGCAGGGACGCAGCGCCACGATACAGCTGACGACGAGAACACCTACCGTACGGGGGGAGGAGCTCAACAATACCGTGCCCGGCCACGGCCAAAGCGAGCTGATGGTAGAGCATGGCGGCCGGCCCGACTCAGGCTGATAAATAAATACGCAGCCGCCGGACGGGTTTCGACTGCACTCTGAAACGAAGATCTCAGTTCGTTGCATGCAGCATGGGATGGCATCCGTTGCATGGCAAGTATCCAGCAGCCATAGCAGGTTCCTTTGACGGTACCCATATGGGTACTCGTGTTCGTACACGAATGCGTATCGAAGAACTATGGACTCTCGTCTGATCCACCTTTGGGCCGAGATGCATCGGGCCTTCTGACTTTTTGTGCTTGCCAAATGTCAACTTAAATGCACCGTACACTGTGGCACGAAAGGAAGGATTAAGACATCGATGTGCCAACCCAAAAGGCATTTACCTAAACGTTATATTGTCTGGAGTATCGGCGAATAAACCGTGCACTAGACGCCCGTCCGGCGCTCATTGGTGACTGTTGAGCATGTGGCCGCTGGATGTACACCATGTCTTTTCGGTCGCGAAAACGATTGCTTTGAGACCGCTTGAATTTAGAGTTATTTGCTGCCGACATTATGAGTCATACCATGCACCGCTGAAGAGGTCAAAGATTGCCAATTGAGGTTTATTTCATTGGTTTTGCGTCGTCATTGGTGCGGCGCGAATTCGGTGTTCTGAATTCTCTTGATGCTGAGCTCCCTGGAAGTTATCGGGCGCATCGAATACCCTAAAACGCGTCGTTGAAGATTTGGTCCGTGACTCGGGGCCACACTGGTTTCCGCTAGGAGCTAAATTTTCCATGTTCCATTATCTCCGGTCCATTGCGAACACGACAGCGGCCGCTGGTCAGTTATATGACATCTTGTTGGTGTGGACTGTGGTTGTTGGACGGTGCTGAAATTTTGCAAATTGTTGTTGGCTGCATTTGCATGCTAGTTTCCTTCACTGTCATCAGGAAACACCAAATTTCGACTGGCAGGATCTTGCTATCTCCGTGGGATTAATGACAGGATGCGCTGCGAAAAGGCACCAAGATAGGCAATTTCATCGTATAGCAGCCTGTTAAGATTTTAAGAAAATCGGAAAGTACCGCAATGAACATTATAATACGAACACGAGTACGTCGCTCACTTACTACAGATCAGGGACACCAAAATGGCCGGATGGCAGCTCAGCCCGTGAAATCGATCGGAAATTTACATCCGAGTTGTGCCGGATCACTGGAATAACTGAACACATGCAACGTGGTGGTGCGGCGATGGTGATGCACGTGACAGTGGAAAGACAAGTTTTTCTACCGGTTTGAGTAAATGAAAAGTGAAGAAAATACATTTGTCTAGGATAGGGATAGGCGGCTCATAGGATAGGTCTTTTAGTTCTTTTAGTTTATGCTACGTAGAAGGCAGGGACTAAATCGCGCGATTATTTTTAAACATATAAATCGCGTTATTCCCGCGATCGGCTGAGCAAGATTTGAGAGCAGACTGCGAAAGAGAAAGTGATTAGCGGATAAGCAAGTGATTTGCTAAGCCATGAACGCCCGGCATCAAGTTCTTGGACCAAAGGGAGCTAGAGACGTTCCACGCTCAAAAACATAAGGCTCGTAGGGCGGCTTGAGTTGACGAGACGGCTGGAGGTCAGCCGGCAAGTGCTCTTTGGCAGGCTCTGGTGATGCGATGGTGCACTTGAACGTACCACGTCTACTTGCAAGATGTCTTACTAGCGCGTTAGAAAATACCGCTGTACGATTACTAACAGAAAAAGTGAAAGATATTGTCTCTGAAGCAGCAATGAGACGTACAAACACCGAATTTTTTCCTTGGCGGTTGGACAGAATCAGCGGCGCCTCATAGTCACGCGGACGTCCATATTCCCAACTCCTCAGGCACTCCTCAGGAAGCATGGCCGCTGCTGAGGATGCCGGCGCCCACTGCGGCGCAGCCAGCTCCGTGCACCGCTTCGCTGTGGCAGCGTACAGCGCCGACCCGGGCGCCCACTGTGGCGCGGCAAGCTCGGCGCACCGCTGGGCGCCCTCGCCGGACAGCAGCAGCCAGGACTCGGGACCCCACTGCGGAGCCGCCGACTCCGCCCACCGCTGGGAGGCGAGGGACGAGGAGGACGCTGCGGTGACAGACCCCGGCGCCCACTGCGGCGCGGCGAATTCGTCTTACCGGTGGGAAGCGTGGGAGGAGGAGGACGACGACAACGCGGCCTTGGAGCCGGGGGCCCACTGTGGCACGGCGAACTCGTCTCACCGCTGGGAGATAGCAGCGGACGTCGCTGACCCGGGGGCTCACTGCGGCGCCGCCCACTCAGCGCTCCGCTGGCAGGGGGCAGAAGACGCGACCAAGGAAGCGGACGCCCACTGCGGCGCGGCCCAGTCAGCACACCGCTGGGCGGAGGCGGAGGGCGGCGCGTCGCCGGCCTCCCCGCAGGGAGAGACGGAGCAGCCCGGCCAAGCGGAGAAGACCGCGGAGTCCGCATCGCGTGCGTCATCCGCGTCCTCCGCCTCCGACATCAGCGACCTGGGCTGGGAACAGAGCCCGTCGTCCGGGCTGCTGCCGCCCTCGGATGTCGCCGCCGAGCGCTGCCTGAAGAAGCGTGCCGAGGCGGGGGACCGTCGCGCGGTCTTCTACCTGGGCCAGCTGTACTTCGACACGGGGAACTTCGAACGCGCCAAGGAACACTTCCTTCCGATCGCGGCCCAGAACATTTACGCGCAGTACCAGCTGGGCGTCATGCTTTTCGAAGGCTTGGGCTTCGAGCAGGATTTGAAAAAGGGCTTCAGGCTCATGCTTACGGTGGCTCACAGCGTTCCGAAAACTCCCGAGCACGAGGAGACGATCCACAAGGCGCAGTACAACGTCGCCAGGGCCTACTTCATGGGGTTCGGCGCGCCGAGCAGCGAGGACGACGGACGAAGGTAATCCTAGCGCGACTGCTGGCCGCCGAGCGGCGGGTGCGGCGCCGAGCCGGCGCCTCCTGTCGCCGCGCCGGCAAAGCTGCGCCGCTGAAAGGGCGTCTATCGCCGCAGATGGCTGGACCGAGCCGCCGCCGACGGCACCCGCCGGGGCAGCGTCAAGGCGCAGACCATGCTGGCCATGCTGTTCGCCCGGAGGGACACCCTGGACTTGGAGAAGTCCTTCCACTGGCACTCGGAGGCCACCGGCAACGGCAGTCTGGAGTCACAAGGTAGGGCGTGGCGGGTAGCTGAGAGTCCCGGGCACAGCAGGGGCAACGGTACACAGGTTCGGGACACGAGTTAAAGCGGTCTGGTCTGGGCTCCTGGCGGCCAGACGTAAATCCTACAACTGCAGCCTTGTTTTCCCCCGTCATGTCCGCTGATGTGAAGGGTTGAATGGGGGGGGGGGGGGGAGCGTCAGGCGGGTTCACAACGGGTCAGGTCGACAACAAGAGTCGAATCATGTGAGTCTGCAACACCCGATGCCGGCCTGACACGGCTGGGGAGATACGGCTTACGCTTCCGCGCTCTAAGTGTTTGTCCCCCTGCAATGAATGTCTTAAGACCGGTTCGAGTCCATTTTGGTAGGGATACTGGCTGTGCAGCCCCCAGGGTCTCAGGTCTTGCAAACACAGTGACACTAAGGCGGCTACTGGTAAGGGTTGGTGGGCCTCTGGTGCGAAAGGTCTCCGCTGTATGAAAGATGAAAGACGCTTCTGTCGTTGATAAGGATGACCTGCTTATAGGAGTGCCACTCTGCATACCGACCAAACGAGTTTGAATACAATTCTGGTTCCTACATTTTACAGAAGGCTGGGCGATCATATTCTGTCATAAACGGTATAAAATCATAATCTCCAAGACTGAGACTTGCAGCCTGTTGTGAGCTATTCAGCGGCAGTTTTGTCTCGGAGCTCCGCTGTTGTTTGGCCTGAAGGCTCCAAGGCTCACATCGAAACGCGTCTCCCAACAGAACACCATGTTCCAATGCCTAAGCTGTAGCAATTGCGAGCCAACGCTTTTCTTCTAAAGATTCGCCTACAAACGCAGCGACTTCGAGGCCGAGCTCTGCCGGCGCGCCTGCCAGCTGACCGGTGCGCGTCGCTGCCGCAGGTGCGCTGGGCGTGATGTACCTGTACGGTCTGGGGGTGCGGCGGGACCTGGTCGCAGCCCGCCTCTGCTTGACGCAGGCGGCGCGGCGCGGCAACATCTACGCGACCGGCCAGCTGGCGCTCTTCTACTACCGCTTCCGCTTCTACCAGCACGCCGTGCGCTTCGGCACGCACCTGGCGCGCTTCGAGGCGGCGGACGTGGCGGAGCTGGCGCGCCAGTCTGAGTGTCTGCCCGGCTACGTGCGCCGCGGCCTGGCTATCGGCTGTTACGTGCTGTCGCGCTGCCAGCTGCTGGGCCAGGGCGGGGTGGCGGCCGACGGCGAGCGCGGCCGCCTCCTCGGGGGCCGCGCCGCCGAACTCGATGCGGCCACGGCCGACCGGCTCCAGCGACTCTTCGTGAACGGGCCCTGGAGCTGCGCCAGCTATCCCGACTTGGGCGTCGAGGTCTAGCGGCGGCTGGGCGTGCCGGCTGGTCGTCGATGTCCCTCGCGGTGCTGCGGGTCCCGGTTCCTCACACCCGGCGAAACGGCACGGTTTTGTAGTGCTTGTCGCTTGTCCAGCATTGATAGTGCTTATGAAACGGATAGGAGGCAGTGCTATCGGCACAAATAGATATTTACATGCATATGCGTGGTTGCATGGAGGGCACACAATCGCGTTGTTTGTTTTTTTTCTAAGGCGACTTTTGAGACCGAGGACAAGACAGTATTCCTCCGACAAATACGAAGGAAGGTCTCGGAAAGTGGGAGCGCCATACAAACTTTGATCCTTACATGCGTTGCCATAGGCTTAATGCATCAGCATTCTTGGAAAGGAGAGGAGCTCGGCGCCCACGGAGCATCTCGTTCCGATGACAATGGTTCCGCAGAGGCGAGCACTTCTCCGGAATGCCAGTTCCACCATGCTGGCGTGCTTCTTAGGCTGTGAGCAATTGCTTACGCACACCCACTTAACCCTGTACTCTGCCAACTTACCAGCTCTTGAGAAAGGTAGGATGAAGAAGAATGCATCACAGTGGTATACACCGGCATGGATCCCGAGGTAAAGTAGTCGAGTGTCGGTGTTACCAGACGGTATGGGTTGATAAGCCGTTGGCGTGGGACGTGGCTCACAGGGCACGGAAGGCTCCCAGTAAAAGAAAAATACAAATCGCCGTCAGCAAAACCATCATGGCGCAGCTGTTACGAATCTCGCTTGCGATGTTTACATTGTCGGCTGTACATGAGGTCGCGGGTCGCATGAGCTGAGTTTGCGTGTGATGGATGCACGTTTCCCGTCGTATTATGTGTTCTAAGCATTTTTTTAGCCGTAACGCCATGAAATACAGCTTTTGGAGAGCTGCGTAAAACCAACATGTTAGCTGGGGCAGGCTGGGCGAGCTTTGCTGTTTCTGGTTGACAGAGTTTGGCCCCACTATTTTGTTTGTTTTGACGTCCAGCCCGATGTTATCGTTTATTTTTCCCCACCGTGAGTCACAAGTACATTTATTTTTGTTGTTTTTGTTTCAGAGCTACTCGAAGAATTTTCAGTTTTATTTATTCTGACCTGGAAGAACTTTGTGGCCTGGTTCACTATTAATCATGGGCTTTGATGTCAAAAGGTAGGTGTTCATGGTAGTTAATGGTGATCTGCATTTATTGGATACACTGGACTGTCATGTTTATTTATGTATCATGCTTACAGCTGCTAAGTAATGATTCTGACTTAGGAAGGTCTGAAAAGCTGCAATGGTTCACAGCTGAAATCTAAACAGCTTATAATGGCTTCTGCACTTAATATTTTAGGAATGCAAGGCCTGTAAATGAATCTCCCCTGAGAATATCAAAATATCTGACAGCTTCATAAGTTCACTAACTATGTTATAAGCTACAGCTGCCTGGTTGACCACTATGAAGCATAGCTCACTGCCAATATGATTCTGACTGATGACTTGTATACCAATCACTGTGCACACTATGCTACTGGGTATGATAATTAGTTTGGGTGTGTGACCTGAGTGTTCTTTGGAGGTCAAGCATCAAACACATAAGCATCCTGGTCCTGCTATTCAGGAAAAACAGTGCTACTTTAGCAGGAAGCTTTTGTCAGCATATCTTAGCATATGTGGTTATTATGTCACATAAGAATGCCATTCCTGGCTGACCATCTTGTCCTATTTCCAATTTCTGAAATTAAAAGATGATGATAAGGCTCAAAGTGACAGTGTATTTCATGTATGCTACTACTGTGTGGTGCCACAGGCAGCATGCATATGCCACCCCTAAATGTTATGCTGGCATGAATAGTTTTGTTAACATCATAAATTTTGTTAAGTAGCTCCTGGACCATTCAGTAAGGTGTAGTGCAATACCAGGTAGTGCATATTTAGCTGTTTTCAATATTGATTTGAAAATTGTGACTTGTTATCATTATGTCAGGTCTTAAGTTGTGCATGACTTCATGTACACATGTCCTCATCCAGTGGTCCTGAAGCTGTGAAGTAGCAGTAAATTTGATGTTTTTAGCTCCTTTAATCTTTGTAAAGATAATTTATAGTGATGGTAAAAAAGAGATCAAAGATCTCAGTTGAAGTTAAGCTGGTGTCTGCAATCAGTGTTTTAACATGTCAACATCAAGGTGTTGAAACATTTTACAGGTTCCTTGTTCTTGCCATCCTCATAGTGTAGGAGGCAGGCATGATCTCTCCTTTGCAGAATCTATGCATGATGTATTAGATCAAATATTTCCAAACAGGATGGTGCATGAAATGCAATTATGAGCTACACTTTAAATCAGTTTATTACACCTCATTGTTGACCAATCAGGTTAGGTTAAATGATATATATATATATATATATATATATATATATATATATGGTGGTGCCATATATAATGGTATATGGCACCATGTGTGGCCACATCTGTGTAGTTTTGTGTCTATTTGCAGAGAAAAGCAGAAGAAATTTAAAAAGTTGTTCTGTCACTGTAAGCGCCTCGATTGGAGGTTACCTCACATCAGTCCATATTTGTTACGACCCTGACCTCAGATGACCATGAGTATGCTAGGGTTCATGATATTTTATGAGATTTGGATGGCTTCATGATTATATTACAACCTGGAAGAAGTAGTGGTATATTGGTATGCTATTTTTAGGATGAGCAACATAAATTTTGCAGAAGTTCTGAATGATGTTGCATGGTTACATCTTTATTTTATTTGTTTGTTAGCTCATCAAGTCAGAAATCAGTAGGCAATGGCATTTAAAGGTGGAGAAGCCAGGGAAGCTCATGTGTAATGAACAAATTTGTCATTTCAGGCTGGATATTTACCGCAAGGTGCCGAAGGACCTGACACAGCCAACTGTTTCGGGCGCCATCATTTCTGTCTGCTGCTGCAGCTTCATGTTCCTGCTGCTGGTTTCTGAGCTCTGGAATTTCATTTCTCCAGATATGTAGGTGTTGCTGATTTTGCTGTTTTGTATTGCATGTTGTTTTCCACAACCATATTTTCTGTTGTCTGATTGGTGGCTGACACATGCTGTCAGCTGTGGTGTTGGCTCCAATTATGTTCACTGAATGTGAACTGACTAGGCAATAATATGACATTGCTTACATTGTTAGAGGTGGAGTTTGTGGCAGCAGGTGTTATATCGCCATTAACCATGTGGAAATTTGTGAATAGCATTGTGTCATAGCAACAGCAGTGAGCATGTTTGTGCATGTTTGCTATTGCTGGATGCGTGTGTGCGTTGGACGCACTTGCATGTTTGCTGTTGTTGTTGGTATTGTTGAACGCGTGTTTCCGTTGGACGCGTACGCCACTGACGCCTGGTGTGGCCGGCAGCGTGTCTGACCTGTTGGTGGACAACCCCGGCAACCAGTCGGGCAGGATCGCGGTCCACCTGGAGATCTCGCTTCCCCCGCCTGCAGTGTCAGTGTGAGTATCGGCAGCCGAGAGCGCCAGAGCGGCTGCTGGATGCCGATGGCGATGTGACTCATTGTTGGACTCCAGTAGCGTTAGAATCAATGTTTGCCGCTGGGAGCGTGGCAGCTGGTGCCGACCAATGGTGCGGGCGCGAAAAGACTGAGTACTGGCTGCTGGGGGTATGAGAGTGTTGTGGGCTGATGCTGAAGGCCCGTAACCCTTCTTCATTAAGAGGGCTGACTGTCGCGAACCTCGCGGCTCCTTCACTGCGCGGAAGCTCCCTGCATTCACTTGGCTGTCCATGTCGGGCTGTTCCTGCGATCTTGCAGTGACACTGCAGCATCCATATGCTGTGGCGTGCTAGCTTAATTGTTAGCTTTCTGGCCCGTATGTTTTCCGTCTGGTATGTTACGCTGATGTGCTGGTAGTTCTTTATCAGCCACCAGTCAAAAGAACAGGGTATGGAGACCGAAATTGTTGAGCGTCGTCAAGACCGTCCGTGTTGCGCGGTACAACAGGGTCAGGTAATCGTGCATGTCTCCAGATGTCGGCCTGGATATCCAGGATGACCAGGGCAGGCACGAGGTCGGAATGGTGGAGAACACCAAGAAAACGCCCGTCTTGTCCGGGGCCGGGTGTCTGATGGTGGCCGACTTCCAGATCAACAAAGTGCCAGGTCAGCCTCTAACCTACATCACACCCCACGTAACCCACAGTTGCATCCGTGAGTTCAGAGTTCCTAGGTGTTTTAAATGGTCTATCGACAGCCAACTACCGGGAGATGCTGACTGGTTAAATGACGTTATAGTGTACACACTGGTTATCCTAACAATATTTGACGTTGAAAGCTGGTTGTATGATCACGGCTTGTGTAACTGCTCTCGAGCAGCCTCAGGACCCCTACGAGCCCTTCGGACCCCCTCTACCGTCTGACCCCGCCTGACCGCCGCCTAACCGCCACCTGACGGCTGCCCGACGGCCGTCTGACGGCCGTCTGACCGCCGCCTGACGGCCGTCTGAACGCCGCCCGACGGCCGTCTGAAGGCCGCCTGACGGCCGCCTGACGGCCGTCTGACGGCCGTCTGACGCCGTCCTGACGCCCGCCTGACGGCCGCCTGACGGCCGCCTGACCCCCGCCTGACCCCGCCCGCCGCAGGTAACTTCCACGTGTCGACGCACTCGTCGCGCCAGAAGCCGGCCGAGGCGGACTTCGCGCACGTAGTGCACGAGCTGCGCTTCGGCCGGCGCGTGTCGGCCGACCGGCTGCCGATGGCCAGCTTCAGCCCGCTGTCCGAGCGGCACGCGCTCGACTCGCCCGGTTAGTCGCCGGAGCTGGGGGGGAGGGGGGGGGGGGGCGGAAGGGGGAGAGGAGGAGGCCGACCCAGCTGCCCGCTGTCCGAGCGGCACGCGCTCGACTCGCCCGGTAAGTCGCCAGAGCGGGGGGGGGGGGGGGGCAAAGGGGGAGAGAGAGGGAAGGGGGAGAAGGCCGACCCACCGCAGGGCATGCGGGGCGCTCACGCGGCGGTAGCTGGAAGTTCTGCTGGGTCATTGCCGGCGACCCGAGTAGGAAGCCTTGACTCTGCGGTGTGGACCGTGTTTTTCGTAAGCACTGCCGGTGTCCGTGTGTGGCTCGCGCTGTCCGTATGGCTCCTCCACTCTCCTTACGCTCCGCTCGCTCTGTCCGTGTGTGCTCGGTGGCCTCCCCTGACGTCGGTTCGTCTTCTGGCAGCCTCTGCGTCGCACGACTACATCATGAAGGTGGTGCCGACCGTATACGTGGACCTGAGCGGCGTCGAGCTGGTATCCTATCAGTACACCTACGTTTCCCGGGTACGTCATTGGCTGTCGAGAACCGGCCGGACTTGGTGATGGCGGTAGAGTTGTACGTCAGATAGAAGATAAGATAGAAAATGAAATTCTGTCGTGGAATTTTTCTCCCGGTCGCTTGATGTCACTCCAAATGCCCAATGGCCGCTCATTTGTTGTTTCTGCTATCGACTGATAACGCAGAATGTGTTATTTGCGTGTACTTTGTGACATCAAGCTGTCTTATTTTGATGCTGCATACTACGCCATCCGCGCATCGACTGCTATTCTTGTTGCTTTCTTGGAACGCATTGGCCTTGGTTATTGCCATGCCTCCAAATCACTCGTGCGTCTCTCGGGCGTAACGGCACCGCCGCCCGCCTGCGTCCGTCGCGTCCCCGCGGGCCGTGTTCGATTCCGGCTGACGGCGCTCACAGTCAGCGCCGTCCGCCCGTCTGTGGCCGTCGCCCCCTCGCCGGCTGTGTTCGGCTCCGGCTGACGGCGCTGACATTCGATACCGCCGCCCGCCTGTCTGCGTCCGCCGTCTCCCCGCCGGCCGTGTTCGGCTCCGGCTGACGGCGCTGACGGTGCGCTGCGCTGCTGCAGGCGCGCTCGCAGCTGGGTCGGGCGCCGGCCATCTGGTTCAAGTACGACCTGAACCCGATCACAGTGCGCTACCACGAGCGTCGGCCGCCCGTCTACACCTTCATCACGACTGTGAGCTGGGGCGGGGTGAGACGGGAGGGTGGGCGGGTCCGTTTGCAGGGGACGGTGCTGGGGTTGGCTGGTGCGCTTGGTCCGGCCACGACCCGGTCCGAGAGCGCAGATTGAATGGATGTGCCGCGGCATGAAATGCAATCTCTTGTGCGAAGCGCTCAAGACGCCTAACTTTTCTTTATGTCACCCGCCCAGAACGTGGATTCGTGCTTTGATCTTCCGCTCCCGTTGCTCAGAACTTAAGCAGCGGGCCTTCCTGTAGGCGCTTTGTGTTCGATTCACACGATTCATGGTACCGACGCACAACTCGAAAATTCATGAGCGGAGCCATTGAAAGCGAACTGAAGGGAGAGTTGCAGCCAACACAGGCTCTTCTGGGGACGGCAGGGTTTCATGTTATTCCGACATCAACAAGCGTGTCCATAAAAATGTGCAGGCTGCATGTCAGTACATGCTGATGTTTCTCGGGCCGAACTTGCTGTCAGCATGTCTGCCTTGCCGAGATGTTGTGTGTGTGGGATGCATCCCACGGCCGCTCGCCATGGCCCTACCCATCTGAACTCACCCTGGGCGATGTGCGCGGCGCTCGAGACAAATGTGGCGCTCGAGACAGACGGTCGTCCGGTCCGCCCGCCAGGTGTGCGCCATCGTGGGCGGCACGTTCACCGTGGCCGGCATCGTCGACTCCGCCGTCTTCACCGCCTCCGAGATGTTCAAGAAGTTCGAGTTGGGCAAGCTGACGTAACGCTCTGGACGGGGCCGGACCGGTTCAGCGGCGCCGGCTAGGCAGAGCAGGGGCAGCGCCGACCGGTGGAACGCCGGCTAGGCGGAGGGACGGGCCGTGCAGCGGAGAGGGGAGAGACCGTGTGTAGGGGGGGGGGGGGCGTGGGAAGCAGCCGAACGCCGGCGGCTGCGGTGCTGGGGTTCGCGGCGCGGGGTGGGTTGGTGGGATTGCGCTGGTGGGAGCGGGGTCATCGTAGGCTGTCAGCGAGCGGGGCTGTGCTTTGGCCGGCTATGGGAGCCCGGAAAGAACCGGCCGTTTTGAATTGTTTTAGGGCCGTAGCTAGGTGTGGTTGTTGCTGTATTTTTATACTCAGATCACGTGCATTTCTGTTTCAGTTGAGGTGGTGTTAAGAAGGCTGCATTGCTGTGTGCAATTGCGAGAATTTGTTTGTGCTTGAGCGTGTACAATGTTGCGATAGCTGACATTGTTGTGCTCTTCAAAATGTACAACGACGTTTTATGGCATCAGGGAAGTTGTTGACTCAACCGTTCTGCACATCTGATCGTGAGCTATCACACCCCCTAAATATTTTGTACCTTCCTGGCCCATTCATCGTTTACCGTAGTAATGTGCAAGCCATGTTGTTTTGCTGAAGCTGGGCGTTTTCAGTTTCAACTCAGCCAAAGTCAGCTGGTAACAAAGCATTGTTCATCGCTGTTCGTCAACACCCTATTCGGTCTTATCTTTTACCGCGTTTTGATGCAACGCATTTTTAACTTTCTGCCATGTCCTCCCGTTAGATATACCTGGGGCGCGTCTTACTTTGTAACTGTCGGTCAAGCAGCTTGATTGGCACAGACTTCAGTGTGTGCTCTTTCCAGTGCTGGCCGTGCCCTGTCCATATGCAGAAAGTTAGCTGCTCCTGGCTGTGCCAGCCGGCGATTGGTCTCAGCATTTGACACGGCCTTTCGCAAAAGTGATATCGTCTGCTCCCAGCTGAGACATTTAGACGCGCTGGATTTGTTGGATTTGGGTGTCGCTGATGTCCCTCTTTCGACAAACCTCGTGCGCCGCTCTCGCCTGCCGCGTGCCTACACTTTATACTTGGCGCTCAGAAGGGTTCTTTGGAGTCGGTGTTTTAGTCATGTCTGTAGCTCTGAATATAGCCAAGTGCTCGCATGGGATTGGCCAACATCTGCAGCTGCATGTTTTGGGCTCTTCCTTGGACTTGCAGGTATATCACTGACCACGCCTTTTTTGGGCCCCATCCGCTCACCGTCCGGGAGCTTCTGTGCAAATACATCTAAGCATGAGATGATCGCCTGCTTTCTCCTGGCGCGGCCGAGCAGTTCGGAATAATGACCTCGATATTGACCGACATCACCTTCACCCTGGCATTGACCGTCAATGCCAATGCGTTTTGAAGCGTGGGTGAAATCCCGCGGGCTAGCCTGACGTCGGCCGGCGACCTGCCATGGAGACATGGCTGAACCTGGCCTCTAAGTCGGAGCGGCTGTCGGCGGCCGCGGCGCCCGGTGACCTGCGGCAGCTGCCGGCGCCGCCGGCCCGAGCCGCCTCGGCGCGCCGGCCCGGCGGGCGCGGGGAGGGAGGGGCAGCCGGATCGACCAGCGCGGCCGGTCACAGGCGGGACGGCGGCGCGGGCCGGGCGGACAGGGCGGCGGTCGGCCGGGCGGGGCGGCTTGACCTCGACGGGGCCGCTGCGACCTGCCGGGCGACCTCGGCGCGGCTCTCCGGCCGGGTGACGTGACCTCTCCGCGGGTCAGGGTCGGCGGCGCGCCGGGTGCGGCCTCGTGTCGTCAGCCCACCGGGGCAAGGTCGGCGTCCTGCTCGCGTCGTCACCCGGACACCGACACGGTGAGTGGACCGGCAGATCACGGAGGACGCGGCGGTGCGCGGGCCTGCGCCCTGTCCCGCCCCCCGCCCGGCTCCGGTCCCAGTCAGCGTACCTTCAGACCCGTGACAGCCGCAGCTGACCGGCGGGGCGAGGTGAGCCGGAACACGCCGGATTACGCTCCTCCGAGTCACCGGGGGACGGCGTGTTTTAGCAGACTAGGGAGAGGCTGTGCCTTCCGTGCGGTGGCACAGTGGCCTCCGTTACGTACGATCCAGTGCGAAATGACAGGATGATAGGAAGTGAACTGCACGTAAACGCTGTATCGCGCGATATTGTCAAGTTCATTTCAAGGGCTGGGTGTCACGCCTTGTAAAGCCCTGCAAAGTTAGATACTCATTTGACCTGTCAATTATACACTAATGGCGGTTACTGAGACGTTAAAGAAACCGGCCGACATTTCAGTTTGGCTATGCAGGGGCCGTATTTTGTGTTGTATCGGGCGAACCCTTGTAACCCCGGGCAGCGGCTGGATTCGATTGCATTTCAAATGCAGGGAACACCTATTCGTGCTCAGTTCCACTCACTTATTCTGCGATGCTTCACCTACTGCCGAACGTGCCCTGTTTTACAGCCTGCAGCTTGTTCTGATTTCGCCTTTGTCCCTGTCGACCGTTCCCAGAGGGCCGGCGCCATGAAGCTGGTGATTCTGCTCAGCCTCGCCTGCCTGGCATCATCTTTTAAACAAGGTAAATGACGCCAGACGTGCTGGTAAGTGCCGCTCGGCTGTCCCGGAAACCTACCTGCCTCTCCCGGCGTCCCGCGAGGCCCCGGCTCCCGCCGCCCCTGAGCTCGTTAGGACCGGTCAGCCCGAGAGGAGCCGGCCCAGATGAGCGGCGGCAGCGGCGGCGGAGACTCCAGGCGTCCCGCGAGGCCCCGGCTCCCGCCGTCTCTGAGCTCGTTAGGACCGGTCAGCCCGAGAGGAGCCGGCCCGGACGAGCGGCGGCGGCGGCGGAGACTCCCGGCGTCCCGCGAGGCCCCGGCTCCCGCCGCCCCTGAACTCGTTAGGACCGGTCAGCCCGAGAGGAGCCGACCTGGACGAGCCCGCCGCCCCTGAGCTCGTTAGGACCGGTCAGCCCGAGAGGAGCCGGCCCGGACGAGCGGCGGCGGCGGCGGAGACTCCCGGCGTCTCGCGAGGCCCGCTCCCGCCACCTCTGAGCTCGTTAGGACCGGTCAGCCCGAGAGGAGCCGGCCCGGACGAGCGGCGGTGGTGGCGGAGACTCCCGGCGCTTCACTTCGCATGGCTGACGTTCAATATTGATCCCGCTTCCGCGCCCAGCCGCCCGCGGACTGGTCGGGACTGGCGGACGTTAAGGGCGGCGCCAGCCTGCACCGGCACCGGGTCTCAGTTTTGGTTCTGGAGGGCCCCAGCATGAGGTGGTGTCATCTGCGTCTCTCAGCTTGACAGCTAAGCACCAACTCTGACGATCATCAAATGACAAGATACACATGCTGCGTTATGGCCTTTGTGAATGATGATATCATTCAATGCTGCGGGATATCCTCGAAGGATTTATGCTACTTTGATAACAGCCTTATTTGACGAAGCCGTAAATATAGCTATTGGTGAGTCCCAACGAGACACGGAAGCAGCGTCACCTGCCTGCGGCCCTGCCAGCCTGCCTGCCAAGCCCGGATCATTAAACCTGCCAGAGACACATCTAGAACAGCCGCACGCTGCGGGTGTCGCCTCGTAAAAGCGCAACGCGAGAGCGTCACGGAAATCTAATATCCCCGACTGTCAGCACACATGAGTCGAGTCCGTTTAAGTCTGCCACATGTATGACGCCATGCCGGATCAATGAATGCGGCACATCGGGCACGAACTCTCACATGAATGAGGCTTGCGTCATGGCAAGGGCAAAGCTATAGTCCAACGAATACGCCAAATACGTCAAAACTAGTACGCCATCGGGAAGCTTGATCGTTACTGAGTTCATTCTTTGTGGGTCTGGGTAGTCAGTCTATAGCTTTGCAACTCGCTTACGAACAGAAGAAGGCGCCCATGTTAGGTCGCGGCTACGCAAGGTGCCTCGACATTACGGAGGCAATAGCTTGCAAGCCTATCGATTGAAGCCGGCGTGGTCGGCGGCGACCCACGTTTTAGTGGCGGCTGGTGTGTGTGTTGCACGCGACCAACTGGCGCCAGGCGACCGGCGACCGCGCCCTTCCCCACGGGGCGGGGTGGGACGTTGTCCTAGTCCCCATAATGTCCCGCAGGTGCTTGTAATTCGCTCACGAAAGGAAATAAGGTGTTTTTTTGGGGGGGGAGCGCTAATGGGCAGTTATTTGCTGACCTCGCACGGGGCCAGTGAACTCATCGGGACCCGCTGGAATGGTAGATGACCGAGAGGACAGACTCACTTAGACCCGGCGCCTGACTGACGCACCCGCAGAAAACGGCTGGAATCCACGACGATGACAGAGTTGAGTGTGCGGCCGAGGTCGCTGTCATGCTAGCGACACTGGGGAAAGCATGAGTCAGCACCAAGCTTAGACAACTAATGCAGGCGCAGGAGAACGCTCCGTGATAATGAGGCACAACTGCGCCACCGGCTTCGTGAGACCCTCAGAGAATCATTAAAACAACCTGAGCCCGAGCCGGCGGCCTTTAGAAACTGGGGCTATGCATTTCCGATGAACGCGAACGGTGGTAAGGCATTTTCGAATATTCAATATGGGGTATATGCGTAGCGTTCAAAGTTCGCCGCATGGTACAGACCCTAATAACGCATTCTTCATTCTCAGACGACCCTTCACCGAGAACACACAGGCTGGAAAAAGTAACATTAACAAAAAGTAACATTAAAGAACAGTTGCCAAAAAGCAGTTTCGTGAGATCCTGTACACAACGCTAATGACACAAATATACTTCCGCTACCTTAGATTAACCTGTTAAAATATTGCAGTGAATGGCCAGCCTGGAACGCATCCTGCTCGCTTGTGTTCGTACCGTGTTGGGCCCCTTCAGTTTACACGGACAACTTCGGAGACATGGATACAGACTATTGAGAGGCGGGCAGTGCGTCGATGCCACAGTCATCACCGCGGACCCAAGGCGTGTCGCGCGGGGACCCGCGTCAGACCGCCCGGCGAGGCTCTGCGGGGCTCTGGCGGAGGGGGGGGGGGGGGGGCGGGGGAGCCGGGGCAGCGCCGTAACGCTCGCCCTGCAGACAGCTGAGTCGGCTCCAGGTCTGTCGGGGTGTGATGACGTGCAAACGGCGTAACGTCGCGGAAAGGACCAGACAACAGACGACGGTTCTGCAACGACCTCACATTAACTCACCGTCGCAGAGGAGCCGGCGGAGGTGCCGGCGGCGGCGGCGGCGGCGGCCTCCTCCGGACTGCGCTGGCTGATGGGCCAGCAGGAGCCGGACCGCGGCTGGGGGGTCGACACCGCCCGCGCCGTCATGGCCGCCGCTCTCGTCAACGACTCCGCGCTGGCCGGACCGGACCGGCAGCTGACCCGCCAGCAGCTGGAGATCAACGCCCTGGCCGACTTGTGGAGGTGGGCGCTAGGGAAACCAACGCCCCGGCGAAGGCTCCCTGTGCTCTGAAGACCTCTGAAAGATCACGCCAACAGATAGTCTGCGGTGGTGACTGACAGCTCCGGCTAACGCTGCAACGAAAACATTAAAATATGTTTTAAATAAAGTAAAATATGTTCAATGTGTTCAAGGCACGCATTTGTGGCTTGCTCTGCAAGTTCTGGAATAACCTTCGAGGGACGCAGTGTGAGTTCTACGTCAACACGCATCATACAAGTGCCTTTAAATGTCATCCGAGTTAGGCTGGGAGCGCACTGAGCTCGCGGCATCACACGCACTAGCCCCTGACAGCACCGCTCGAACATGACGGCGGTCGGCGCCGGTGCCGCAGACACCACGACTACCCGCTGACGGCGGCGCGGCTGGCCGAGTACCTGCTGGCGCTGGTCAGCCTCTGCGGCGACGTGCGCCACTTCCACGGCCGGGACCTGACCGGTGAGGAGCGCGCCTGGCGGTGGCGGCCGCGTCCTGACCTCCCCCAGACGTCACCAGCTCTGCTCGGGCTGCAGACGCTAGTCCCGGTGTGATATCGTGTTTTTAGTTTTGTTCTTATTTCACATGTGGGTTAGACTGCATGCATGACGACGGAAGCCGGCTTCGTGTTTCGTGTCCTGTCATCTGCGGATGTGCCATTTGCGTTCAAATGTCGGCCATTTGGGGCCGCTGGGGGAGCTATCTGCTCCCATTGAGCCCGATCTCGACGTGATGCGGCCATCGCGTTCAGCCGGCTGAGCTCTCTCGGGGGCCGTTCGGAGGCCGGTCGCTCCGGGTCCGAGCCGGGTCGAGGTAACGACTCATTTGGCCTGCAGCCCGCTGGTCGTAACTCCGAAATGTCACGGCCAGCGGCTGGACTGAGGGAAGGAGCGGATCTCAGTCCGGCTTAAGCTGCGGGCAAAAAAAGTTTGTCAGATACTCGGACGACAAATGGTGCGCACATTAATTGTCTCAGCCGCTGCTTGCCACGTCCCTTGCCTATGACGTCACAACAGTTTGAAATGTCGGTCTCCCGGCCGGGGTCGGTATTTCCAACCGCTGTGTTGACGTTTCAAATGCCGCCCGCACCAGCCAGCAGAGAAGTCTGTCGTGACCTGGACCTGCCCTGACCTCCGCTACTGCAACGGCCCTGCGGTACCAGCAGCGGAGCCGGTCGTGACCTTGAACTGCTCACATCTGCCGGAGCGGTGCTGCAGCACTAGCGCCGTGATCTCCAGTGACCCTGACCTGACCTTGACCCGGCCGCCGGAGCAGTGCTGCGGCACCAGCGCCATGATCTCTAGTGACCCTGACCTGGCCTTGACCCGGCCGCCGCAGCGGCCCTGCAGCACCAGCACCTTCAGCTTCTGTGACCTTGACCTAACCGGTCTCGGCCGCCGCAGCGGTGCCGCAGCACCAGCAACGTGCTCTCCAGTGGCCTTGACCTGACCTTGACCCGGCCGCCGCAGCGGTGCGGCAGTACCAACGCCGTGATCTTTAGTGACCTTGATCTGGCCTTGACCCGGCCACCACAGCGGTGCTGCAGCACTAGCGCCGTGATCTCCTGTGACCTTGACCTGACCTTGATCGGGCCGCCGCAGCGGTGCTGCAGCACCAGCGGGACCCGCTCGACTACGAGTCAGCGCTGGTTGTGCTGGCGACGTGCGCCGCCGGCGCGCCCGTCCGCCGCCGCAGCTTCGGCCGCCTGCTGGCGATCACCAGCGCCAGCGGCAGCCTGCACGGCACAGGTCAGACCGCTGCGGCGCTGGGATTTGGCGGCGGTCGCGCGTAACTTGCGGCGAGTGAAGCGTCAGAGGAGTGTCGTCCGAAACGGTGGGAGTTGTGTGTTTGCCTTAATTGATGTTTAGTTCTGAAGTTGAGGGAGGGGATGTCTGGAGTCTATATAAGAGTCTCTATCTCTATCTATCTATCTAAGGTGTCTAAGGCTCTATCTCTTCAGCACCCGGTGTACCCTGCATGACAGAGACGTGTGCCCTGCGACCCTGCTGTCACCTGTGATAACCTGTCTGGGGCGGAGAGGCACAGTTGAGAGTGGGCACTAATCATCCATCGGACGCATGCTGACCATCCCACCCCCGGCCAGATACGCTGGCTCTGTCGGTGCTGGCACTGCGCTGCGTGGCCGACAACGAGAACAAACACGTGGACAGGCACCTGGGGACGCCTCTGGCGACGCTGGTGGCCAGGCAGGAGGCGGACGGCAGCTTCGGCAACTTCCACTCCACCCTGCTGGCGATCCAGGTCGGCGGAGAGCTTGGTGCGGAGAGGCCTAGCCAGAGAACGCTAATGGCATGGGGATCTGGTTAGCACGCAAGAGAGGGAGCGGGAGGGGGATCGTGGAGAAGAGTGTTGGATGTCGTATTAGTCTGTTGGTTTTCGTCGTGCCGTGAGGGGTGAGGTGCAGCGTCGGCCGCCGCGGCTGGCATGCTCCGCAGTGATCGGCCCGACTGACCCGCCTCCGCGGCCGCGGCGTCGCCAGGCGCTGCGCTCGGAGGGCGTGGCGGCCGGCTGGAGCTGGGCGCGCGCCGTCTCGTACCTGCTGTCGCGCCAGCAGAGCGACGGCTCGTTCGGTGACGTTCGCGACACTGCCGAGGTGCTGCCGACGCTGGCCGGCCGCTCGCTGCTGGCCGTGGCTGACCTGCCCTGCCACCGCCAGCGCGGAGACGCAGCGGCTTTGGCTGGCGCTGACGGTGAGCCTGGCGTGGCTGCTCACAGCGAGAGAGGTCACTGCGGTGGCATTGCTACAGATGCGATAGCTAAAATCAGCAATGCGGTCTGGGATGCAATTATCCCTATTAGTTGCATGCGCCGTATGACAATCGACATGTTATTAATAAGAAAATAGACGACGCGTTTCTGGAGACAACCAAGTTGCGTTCAGGTAGCTTCGGATGGAGCGTAGTCTTAGTTATCTTTGCTCTTCGAATGTGTGTTTCTAGTGCCTAACTCAAATCACCTAGGACGCATGTGCATCGTGCATTGTCGATTTATTGAGTGTGTAAACGAATGGGCCTTTGTCCTGGAGTTTTCAACTTCACAGAACACGAACCGAGACCGGCAAAAGAACTGCCATCTATCGACCGGTCTGTGAACTCGAGCCTGGCGTCGGCACCGCGGCTGATGAACGTCACGCTGTGGCTGTGGATCGGCGTGGATGTGAGCCAGAGCTTCAGCTGCCGCCTCGCCGTGCCCGAGAACACCAGCCTGTTCGACTGCATGAAGCTGGCGGCCGAGCGCGACAGCCGATTCCAGTGAGAGGCCAGCGCGGCCTGACCAGCGTTGCTGGTCTGGTCTGGCGTGGTGTTGGTCTGTGGCCCACCCACACAGCTCAGAGCTCTCAGCTCACAAATCGCCATCCCTGCGGATTTCACGGCCTCCAACGGTGGATGGAGTTGTTAGACTGTTTAGGTGTTGCATGACCGGTGGTGCTTCTTTTGCGCTTGTAGCGCACTAGCCGGTTGGTGTATTTCAGGCCGTGCTGAACTAGGGGGACCCCCGATGTGTCTGAATCATTAAGTGTTCTCATGCCAGTTAGAATGTGATTTAGGGTTCGGTCTATAGCTGTCATTCAAGCCTGCGAGTAGCAATCAACTTCCCAAGCCCAAGCACATCACAATGCTCCTGAAATAGTGAGCATTACTGATGAAGGGCCGACCGACCTACTTGAAGCATCCAGCGAGCGTACTCGCTACACAGAGGACGTCACCCCATAACTGACGGCTGACCAACGCCACGCGTCCCGCACCCCTCTCCGTCTCGCTGGTCAGCTTCCGCGCACGAGTCCCACCTCCCACTGCGCGCGCAGGTTTTCGGCGGAGGCCTGGCCGAACGGACACTACGTGCACACGATCGCCGGCCGACACGAACGGGCGGACGGCTACCACTTTTGGCTGCTGTACCGGCTGGCCGGCCGGCCTGACCCGGCCCGCCCGCCCACTGGCCGCCAGCTGTTCACGGCAGGTGCGGGCCGCGCGCCGAGGTGTTCCGCTGTGCTGCGTGGCCAGAGACGCTGACCGGCGTCAGACCCGCGCTGCGAGGCTAGAGCTGCGGACGGGTCGCTTTAGGCAAGCGTCATGCTCGTTTTGAAAGGTTTGATTGTGTTGCGTCTGCAAAGGGTATTTAGTTTTTTAAAGACCAGGTGAGGTCTATTGGACTTGTATTTGCTAGAGGCCGGTGTCAATCATCAAAAGAGCTGATGGTGAAGTGCACACACGGGCGGCTTGAACCGTTCTCTGTCGCACCCACACGGCGCCCGCCTGTGTTCCAGGGGTGGACAACCTGTACCCGAACGAGGACGAGCACGTGCTGTTCTGGTACAAGGACCTGTAGCGGCGGCGTGGCGAGCCCGGCGCGGCCGTCCGTCGGCCCGGGGCACCACTGCAGTCCGGAGCGAGAGCTGAGGAAGCCGCGTCGGCTGGCGGGAAACGCTGGGGAGCGGGCGGCTCCAGCCGCGCGGGCAGGGAGGCGGCCGACGGCGGAGGTTTAGTGGTGGGAGGGCGCCACGCTCGCGGGGTGCAGGGCCTCCTGCCGTGTGGAGGCCTGCGTCGCCTGGCTGTGGAGTGGTGGGGGTCGCCGCGGCCGACGATCTGGATCTAGCCCAGACCCGGTCGTTGCGACCTGCCTTACGCTGGAGTAGTGTCGTACGCGCTGTGTGGTTGTGATGGTCCTCCCTTATTTGGAGTCGCTGGTAGCCGGGCGGGGTGGCGAGAGCTGTTAGAACTAGGCTTGTCCGGAATCGGCCGGTCGCCCGGTCGAATGTCCGCGCCGAAATTGCGCTAGATGTGTCATGCCAGAGCCCGTAAGCCAAAGCCCGCGAGCCAAAGCCCGCCTGCCAAAGTCCGCTACAAATATTTTCGTGGCTAGCTGTTTCAACCAGACGTTACCATGGGCTTAGTTCATCTGATCACCCAAGTGGAGGTTATATCAATGCTCGCCTGGGCCCGCATTTCAGTGCTTTACAATCGTTCAGCCCCGCTGGTATCGCAATAGGACATCCAGTTCCACCCATCTCGCCGTCGTAGATGCCTCCGAAGCATTACAGATCCCATCGCACTGGCTCTCAACGGAGACGGCGCTCCACCGGGCGCCGCGTCGTATGTGCGCGTCGTCCGTCTTACTGCTGGCTGGTAATTGCATGGCAATACACGCTATTGAAGTCCTTCGTGGGTTCTCAGCAAAGGCTATATCGCGCCCGCGCAGAACAGAACGGAAGCCATACAATCCACATATATTGGTCTCAAAATAAGGCGCACGCCTCGTCACCACACGACATCACATATACTGAATACATATCAAACGGTCTGCAGCCATGCAAAGCCGCGCCGCCTCCGGCTCGCCACTATTTACATAGTTATTTCTCCCTTTCAGAAGACTAGCGCACGATCAGGCACGCGCTCCGACTAGATAATGGTTAGTTGACTGCATACAAACGACGCTCACGCAACACAACGGCGGGCCCGCCCGGCCCTTGGTCAGGTCATCAGGCAGGGCGGCGAGTCCGCGTGGTCGGGTCTCGGCCGACGCAGAGGCGCGACCAGCCCTCGCCCTGGGTGACCCCGTGGTCAGACGAAAACAGATGAGCCGACCGGATGCGGCGCGCGGTCTACATGTGCTAACTGGGTGCGGGGAGTCAGGATACTACAATGGGCGGGCGTCGATGGAGATGCGGCGGGTGCGTCCACGCCGATGAACCCGCGTCGCGACCGCGGCGGGGGCGATATGCGGGCACGATGACTTCGCAGCTGCGCTCGGCTGCCTGCCGGACGGGGACTACCAGCGCCGCCGGGCGGGCGGGTCCGGCGCGGCCCGCGGCGGCGGCGGCGGCGGCCGTCAGTGGCGCCGCTGCGCGCGCCGCTGACGGTGCTGGCCGGCCGGCGCCGTCGGCGGGCTGCCCGTCTGCGCCGAGGCCGTGCTGTTGGACTGGAAGCTGACCGACATGCCCGAGTCGAGCGAGCCGACGCTGCCGCGCCGCTGCGGCCGGCCGCCGGCCTCCGTCATGTCCAGCAGCGAGTTGGAGAGCGCCGACCGCTTCAGGCCGGACGACGACTTGGACGAGCCGTCCGACACCTCCTCCACGTCGGCCACGCCGGAGTCGCGGTTCTCCGCCGACCGGCTGCAACAGGCGCGCGTCTGGTCAGGCCGGCCCGGCGCCCGAAACCCAGGCGGTGGCCTCGCACCGACCGGAGCGCGGCGAACGGGAGTTCGCGACAGCCACCAGCGCGACCAGCCCCGCGGCCGGCTCCGAACGGCACCACAGCAACCCTCCCACAACAGCTCCGAATGGGTAAATCCAACTGACCCACGTGCACACTGTTAAAAAACAGCTGTGGAATAGATGACTGAATCACAACAAACTAGAACTAGTCCGATCGCTAGATGAAGACCGCTACGAGACAGCCCGGTCCGGCGCCGGTCGCGCCCGTGTCTGACCTGTTGCGGACGCCGTTGGTCTTCTGGCGGCCGAGGCCAGCGTCGATGCGCAGCGCCTCCATCTCGTCCATCTCGAGGATGCTCTCTCGCAGGTCCTCGCAGAACTTGGTGCGGTCGTGCTCGTTGCGCGCGTTGAACGTGAGCAGCACCTTGCCGTCGACGCGCTGCGAGAGCCGGATGCCGTACGGGTAATCTGCGGTGGAGGTCGACGATCAGGTCAGCGGAGGTCGACAAGGTCAGCGGAGGCCGACGCTCCAGCGACGAGGCCTGGACATGGAGGTAGCGGAGGGGACTGGGACACGCAGCCGGCCGGCGGCTCGCTCTAAGGAGATGCCATGCCAAGCGACCCGGGCGCTGCCTGCTCAGGCCAGTCACTGGCATCAGGCCACTGTAAGGCCACAGGTCACTGACGGCTGGTTTGGGGCCCTCCATCAGCGTGGCTCGCCGGCCCCTGCGCCCCCCCCCCCCCCCCGCCACACCCCCGAGCTTCGCGCCGCCGGGCTCCTGACGCCGGCCGCGGTCGCGCCCGCCGCCCGGGTCCGCGCGCACGCCGACACTCACAAGGCAGGTCGAAGGCTGACACAGAGAGCCCCGCCAGAGGCAGGTTCTGCCGGCACGAGTACGTCATGGCGTTCTTCTTCTTGCTGAAGATCTTGGTGACGAGCATCAGGTCGTTGAAGAGGAACACCTCGCGCTGGTGCACGCCGGGCCGCTCCCTCTTGGAGACGTCCGGCACCTCGTACAGGCGACAGTAGCACACCAGGCGGCGGTGTGGCAAAGCAAGAGGCTGAAAACCCGCCCACAGGTGTCAGCACCGTCTATGAGCGGCGCGCACCCGTGAAAAAATTGACAACATTGGCAGACAACTAAGCCAGTGATCACCAACACGACCAGTTAACACCCCACGACACAAAACGTCACTGTCCTTTACTAAGAACTGTCCACAAGTGCACACAGTAGAGTAACCTTTCCCGTCAAAACGCATTCCGTGACTAATAAACTTTTGAACGACTGACCTGGTAAGCTATTTGGGCAAACATACTCAATGAATAGGCGGGCTGACGGCCACCGACAGCCGCAGAATCGAGCTACAGCCAGCACCAGCAAACAAACACCGCCCACGACATCAACACCCGACCGTGGCCCCGAAGCCAAGCCGGTGCTGCCGGCGGCGCGGGTTCCGCCGGCCGCCGGGCGTGCTGCGGGGCCGCCTCGCCGCCTCACTCACCGGCTTCTTGCCTATGGTGGTCTGCTGCACCTTGAGAACGGGCGTCACGTGGTCGGCGCCGGCGCGGAACTCCTGCGCGCGCACGCGCTCGTACACGCCGGCCAGCAGCTGCGGGTCGACGTCGGCACCGTCGTCGATGCCTGAGGCGGACAGAGAGGGCGGTGTGAGCAGCGGTGTGGCTGGTGTTCCGTTGGGGCCGCTCCAACCCCTTTCATCAACTAAGCAGTTGACCACAAACTAACGACACGCTTGGGGACAGATAGAGCACGCGATGCACTATCACCAACTTCACCCCTTAATTGGCCCTTCCAGCTTCGAAAGCGAAGTTGATTAAGCCTACACAGAAGTTGGCCTGTAGAAAATTGAGCCTGGAGCGAACACAGACCAGTTTTGTTATTTTTACTTCGATCAGTCCAGCATCTAATTTTGCAGCACTATGCCGCTGGGCATGAGGTGGGGAGCCTGTTACGCCGGCTCATGTCACCCCTGACCTAAGCGGCGGCCGGGAGCCCAATCCCAGGCCTTTCAATCCCAAACCAATGCCAGCGCAATAAAACTCTTCAGTCGATAACGGCCGCGCGCCTCCGTCATACAGGGTGCGTCTCCTGCTTTCGAATGCACGCGCCGCTTTCGCCCTTGACTGCAGCAACCCCGGGCGCCCATGCCACTTCCTCGCTGGCCAGCACGGCGCGCGCACTTTATCCGGCGGCGGCGCGCCCTCCCCGCCCGGTCCGCGCGTTCCTGCGATCCAGCGATTGGTGACTGGACGCAGCGGTGCGGAAGGTCGCCCGTCCCACTGTCACCGGCCGGGCGGAAAATCGCCGCCATGATCAGTCGTTTTTCGTCGTCCATTAGCTCGTTAAGGTCACACACGCGCTACGCCCAGCTCAAGATAACAGGAGTGAACTTTTATCGGGTGGAAACCTGGGCGATAATACTGTAGTTCTGCAAGGCGCCAGGAAAACCGATGTCGAAACCTGTCTACTGGACAGCTGATGTACAATTAACCGTTTTTTCCCCAATCTTATCCCGATTTACACACACGTTACGGTCTGAGCAGAAGAAACCTACGACTTAAAATGCTGCATGACAGCGTCAGTTTAACTGTGTAGAATGTTAAACACGATGGGGCTCAACAACAAAACTGAGACAGTTCGATGGATTAAAAAATATATCGCGTAAGCCTTCATGAGCCGACTCAGCGGCTTTCGCAACGCATCCAATTATGCGGGAAAAAAGAATCAGCTGGACTTTAAAATCGATTTCCCTACATACCAGTGTTGAACGTGAAATGCCTACAACGAGCAAGACGTTGAAATTTCGCCGCACAGCACTGCGCTACTTCTGAATGCGGCACACACAAAATACAGAAGGCCAAAACGGTCACGGACCACATGCCTTGAAATAAACGAGCCGCCACAAACAACCTTTCCGTGGCCAGAATACCCGTCCCGCATACCAGCCATCTATAGAGCGCCCGACCTTGTCCGTCTTACGTGTCTATTACTAATGCAGATCACGTGACTGACATGACAAACGCTAATTTGAAACCGAACAAGCTCCGTTTTTAGTCAGCAGCCGATTACAACACGCAACCATAATGAAGGACATCATACGAAAGCGCCAAAAGAAGGCGTGCCTTCATTGCGAAGTGGTACCAGGCGCCCTCCAGCATCACGAGCCACTTCCAGGCACGTGGTAGAAGAAAAGTCAGTGGCAGTGGAAAAAGAAGCGTGATTGCTGCATGTCAAGAAACGACACGAACGGTGATTTCGCCACGTGCGATGCCCGCCTGTGATTACCTCCGCATAGCGGAATCAAGTCCGGGCCATCGATCACCGACGAGCATGCCGGCAGATTATTAGGGGTGTCACCTGATGGATCGGAACGGGTTGAGCCCGACGGCCGATCCCGCCAGCCGGGCCGTCCCTCCCACGACGCCCATCGGCCGGCCGGGCGGCCCTCCCCATTCATCTCACTCGCTTTAAACCCCTGGGGACGAGATCACGACCTCGATCGTCCCGCGTCTTACACATAGATCACAAATTGGCGCCAATTTGCCGACATTTGTTCTCCATGCTCGATCGATCCATTACATCGCGGCGCGCGTGGCCGCGCCGGCCGCCGGGTCCCGCCTGACGCAAGGCCCAGTCGCGTGTCATCGAGGTCGTCAGGCGCTGCGCCGGAGCGCAGACGGCCCCGCGCGCCTCCCCGGCCACCCTGCCCTGACACCTGATGGACCTTCCGGCCGCCGTTTCCGAACAGATAATCGCGGTTTGAATGCGTGAGACCCACTCGAGGGTGGGGGAGGGGGAGGGGGGGGGGGGCGGTCCTTTCGTGCGGCGACGGAGCGCGGCATTGTAAACGGGACGGATTGCGGGGCGGGTGGAGGAGGTGATCCTTTCATCCGGCAGCAGAGTGCGGCGGCGTGGACAGGACAGAGGGCGGGGCGGAGCGCCGCCGACACAGCGGAGACGAATAGAGACCCGCTCTCGAGCATGCCACCGAAAAGTGGTCACTGGCAAGCACGAGCCGATGCGGTCCAAACGTCGAAGACGATGCGTGCACAGGAGAGATGAGGAGAGGATTACCTAATGGGTCATCACTTCCCCGGTACCGTTAAATGGACCGGCAAAAACCGTCATCACGCCACAAACACCGGCGCCCACGAGCCCCACCCTGTCTGCCACTGACCTCGGAGATTTTTGATGAAGTCCTCCAGCTTCATCTTGCGCTCGGGCTTGATGTTGGGCGTGAAGAGGTCCGTGTTGAGCATGATGATGGCGAACGCCAGCACGAACACCGTGTCGGGCGTCTTCAGGCTGGCCACGAACTCGTGGTTGCACTGGCAGTAGCGCTGTCCGAACACCTGGCGAGGGCGGGCGGGCGTCACGCGTCACGGGTCGGCGTCACGGCCTCTACTGATAGGGTCTGGACCGCACCCGGGGCCGTCACGAGCCGCGGGGCGGGGCCACAGCCTCGTGTCGAGACACGGTTCCAGCTCCGCCCACACACGTCACGAGCGCAGGTCACCGAGCACGGCCTCGCGCCAGGGCGGGGCCAGGACCCGTCCACACTCCGCGTCACATTACATCACACGCCGTCGCGTCACGTAAGACAGGTCGGTCCCGGGTTCCAGCCCGTCTCAGAAAAAGCCCCGGAGCTTTCGGTCGCACGAAGTGGCCTCGGTCACTACAACAAGCTGCTCTACAAAGCGCCCCGGCACATGAGGATTTAAAGCACCTTTGGCCGTCAGCGCTTGGGCGCCCGCAACAGAGCGCCCAAGCCGAGCATCGCGATCAGCGAAGGCTGTTGCCAGGTGCGCATGGACGGGAAAATGTTTCGGGCGGAGAAACCGGCCGGCGTTGGGCAACGGCGTCCGGGTGGGACGGCCAGCGCGCCGCGTGCATACGATCAGCCTGCACGGACTGCCGTACATGCTCGGAGAGCGCCGATCGGCGCCGCTCACTCAGCCGGACCTCCGGCCGCCGGAGGCCCGGCTACCGGGAGCACGCGCGCCGGGCCCGTCACTCCACCGGGGACACGGTTCAGCGCCGTGTGTACAGCGTTGTTATTACTCTGCCGTAACCGGCAGGCGGGATGAGCGGGTTCGGGGCAGGCTGAGACGTCCCGGACCCAGACTCAACCAAGGACAGCCTGACGTGAGCGAGCGTGGTCGGCCCGCCGCATAACGGGGGAACACTCCTTGCTCATGGCGGAGCGGGCCGCTCTGCACGCGAACAAACGCTTCACAGCGATTCGCGGCCCCGACGGGCACCGCGTGAGATGGCCCGTCCTTGACCCGCCGACCGGTGCACTGGGACCGGGCCTGGCCAGCTCGGACCGACAGCGTCTCCGCCGGCGCTCGGCTGCGACGACGATGCCTGACCCAGTTCCGGAGCTCGGCACCGGAACCGGCCCGGCCGCGGTGGATCTGGAGAGCAGATGCGACAGCGGGGCTGGCTCCAGCAAGATGCTCACCCCAGCATGGGCGCTGCCGCTCAGGCGACGTGCCGACACTGGGACCCAGCCAGGCGAAGCAGCCGACGAGCCGGGGCAGCATCCCGCCGGCTGACCTCGGTGCTACACTCGCCGACGTGAGCTAACCCAGGCCCGGGACCTACCCCTCAAAGCCACCACCTACCAGCCTCAACACCGGCACCGCGTCTTACGCTCCGCAGACACGGCCGTTCGGCGGGCGGCCCCACTCTCAGACCCCAGTCCGGGGTCACCCGGCCGCCCAGCGCCGGCACGAGCGTGTCAGACCGCCATCGGTCGCCGCCGCCAATGCCCGGCGAGTGGCCGCGGCCCAGGCGGCCGGTCGTTCATCAGCGTCCGTGATCGCGCTCTCCAGCCGCCGGGGCAGGTGGTCGACATGTGTCGCAAGCGCGGACCCGGGCGCCCACGGGCGGCGCGTCGATGCGGGGACGGCCTCCGTGCGGTTGGCTAATTTACCTCGGCCAACAAGGTCAGGGCAGCACTGACGGGTCACAGCCAGACTCCACAATAAGGAAAGATGGAACGACAGGTGGCGCTGGATGTTTTCCGGCACGACTGCGCCGAACGTGGCCAGACGCACTTCGAACGCACGCCCCGGAAATTTGCGTAATCCTCCTGCGCAGTTGTGGCCGCCGACGCTAAGGGCCACTGGCTCCGACTTTCTTGGCGCTTCTTTTTCACCCGAATACGTTCCAGCCAACCGAGCCACAGTCAGACACTGTGCGGTTGACAACCCAGCCGCGAATGCCGCACGTGCAGCAATTAACAGAGAGAACAAAACTGGTCCGGCGGCTCTTTTTGTGACGACACATGGGCGGCACGGGTGCCAGCCAGCCCGGGCAGGACCAGGAGCCCACCACAGACCGGACCCGCCGACGGCAAACCGGCCGCGGAGATCTCAGACAGGACCAGAGCCACGGACTGCACCCGACCGCGAACGAGGCCTGAGGACAGGACCCGGGGACCACGGACTGGAGCCGACGACCGCGGACGAGGCCTGAGGACAGGACCCGGGGACCACGGACTGGAGCCGACGACCGCGGACGAGGCCTGAGGACAGGACCCGGGGACCACGGACTGGAGCCGACGACCGCGGACGAGGCCTGAGGACAGGACCCGGGGACCACGGACTGGAGCCGACGACCGCGGACGAGACCTGAGGACAGGACCCGGGGACCACGGATTGGACCCGGGGACCGCGGACGAGGCCTGAGGACTGCGGATGGGAACCAGGGACCACGGACTGGAACCAACCGGGGACCTCGGACGGGACCCGGGGAGTATGGACGAGACCCAAGGACTGCAGACGGGACCCAGGGATCTCGGACGGGACCCGGGGACCACGGACTGGACCCGGGGACCGCGGACGAGGCCTGAGGACTGCGGACGGGAACCAGGGACCACGGACGGGAACCAACCGGGGACCTCGGACGGGACCCGGGAGTATGGACGAGACCCAAGGACTGCAGACGGAACCCAGGGACCTCGGACGGGACCCGGGGACCACGGACTGGACGCGGGGACCACGGACGGGACCCGAGGAACACGGACCGGACCCGGGACCACGGACGGGTTATGGCGCAGGCCACGGCCGGCAGCTGACGCTGGCAGGGCGACCTTGGGCCGGGAGACATTCCCGCTACATGGCCGGCTCATAACGCCCGGCTGGCGTCCCCCGGCCAAGGAGAATGTCCAGCTCCGAGAACGGACCCTCGAGTGGGAGGCGCCGTTCACAGCACATCAGGGGCGATCGCTTGTGCGCTTGGTTCTGATTTCTCCATTGCATTGGATCACGTAAATCAGCGTTGTATCGCATGTGTATGCAAACCGTCGAAGCGGGGACAGTCACGACAGAGTAATCTGTATGTGCAGTCCCTTGAAGTCGGGACAGTCACGACAGAGTAATCTGTATGTGCAGTCCCTTGAAGTCGGGACAGTCACGACAGAGTAATCTGTATGTGCAGTCCCTTGAAGTCGGGACAGTCACGACAGAGTAATCTGTATGTGCAGTCCCTTGAAGTCGGGACAGTCACGACAGAGTAATCTGTATGTGCAGTCCCTTGAAGTCGGGACAGTCACGACAGAGTAATCTGTATGTGCAGTCCCTTGAAGTCGGGACAGTCACGACAGAGTAATCTGTATGTGCAGTCCCTTGAAGTCGGGACAGTCACGACAGAGTAATCTGTATGTGCAGTCCTTGAAGTCGGGACAGTCACGACAGGACTGTGGTGCGAAGTTCACCCTTAGCTGCCCGAACGTCACTCCGTAAACCCAGTGGGCACTGGCAAGCGGAACAACTTTCCACCGCCCGTGTCTGCTCGGCGACAAGCCGTTCGGCGCGATTTCTACCGTCTCGCCCGCCAGCGGCGGGTGAGGCCAGCGGCGGGTGAGAACCGTGGGACTCTGACGTAAGCGTCCCCGGCGCACAGGGAGCCCTCCCCAGCTGATGCGCCGCCATCCTCGCCGGCGCCATGGGTTTCCCTGGGCGCCGTCACTAGCGTGCCGTGCCGACCCAGCCGTGCCGTGCAGCGGCGTCCCACAATGAATCACGCGCGGCGCCGGCGCCCACTCTCAGCCGGAAAAGATTCGCTCGCGGCGGCGCCGCTCCGGCCCGTGCATGCCTGCCCGGACAGGCCGCGACTCCGGCGGCAGGGGGGGGGGGGGGGGCAGCCGGCGGTGTGGCGACAGCGCCGGGGACCGTCAGCTGCCGTTGCATCGATCCCCGCTATCGCCGCGACCCCGCCCCGACACTGATTGCACGTAATCGCAATCCTCGCACGCCCATAACGCCGCCACGCGGGGGCAATATCGGCTCTTCCACATTGCCCCCGCGTGGTCAGGCGCAGGCCGGCTTTGGTCGCCGGCTCGCTTTCTAACGGCGGCGTTTTCATCACAAGGCAGCTGCTCCGTACGGGCTTCGCGCCAAATAACCATTCCATTTCGTGTTTCCCACGGATCTGGGCCAATCGGTAGCCTTGAAGTCGTTCGTTTTCCTGGCTGCGGTGTTTGCGGCCGGTTGTACTTTTACAATCGGCTGCCGGTGAGGAAACGCAGCCCCGTGCTGAGCGACCCCAGCGGCATGCAATGTGCCGCCGCCGGCCATCTGCTCGCGGCAGGGCAATCCATACCGCTCCGGCCGGTAAGCCGCCCTCTCTTTGAGGTATGACCGGGCGCACCGCTTGTGGAGAAGACACGAGCTTCCCGCCGCCGCCTCAGACAGGAAGAATGAGTTAGCGTAGCCGCTTCTCCGTGACCTGCGGACGCGCCTGGGCGGGCGTAGCGTCAGTCCTGAAGCACTACACAACGCTCGGCTGGTTTGTTTGGTCGCCGATCCATCACAGCCCAGCGGCCGGCCAGCACCAGACCAGCAGCCGGCCGTCCCGGCGCCCGCTCTCACCTCCATCAGCCGCTCGATCTTCTGCGCCTCCCCCGGCAGCCGGAAGTAGGCCTGGAACTTCCTCAGCGCCGCGTCCAGCTGCATGTTGTAGAAGTCCAGCTCCTGCGCGAACGCCCTGCAACCGGAGCAAAGCGGCGTCACGGACCGGAGCCGACCGGCCGCACCGCGCCGGCCGGGAGCTGGGCACGGCGGACGCGGTCACGAGGGCGGTACAAACCGGGCCGGGCCAGGCCAGGTCAGGTCAGGTCAGGTCAGGCCGGGTCGGGGCAGGTCAGGTCAGACCGGGTCAGGCCGGGTGAGGTCAGCGGTGTCCGAACAGGCCACGTCAGGCCAGGTCAGTGACGCCCGAGCAGGCCCGTCCCCACCGGTGGGCAGCGGCCCATGCGGCGGCTGGACGGGCCTCGGCTGCGCGGCCGTACCGTCCAAACGGTGCCCAGCTTCATTGGGCACCGCACAGCCCGACGCCCGAAGGCCTTTCGAGGAAGGAGAACGGGGGGGGGGGTCACCGAGAGGGCGGAGCTCACGCGGTGGGCCACCGAGTTCCGATCAAAACACGTCTGTCTATCGGTTGAGGCGGAGGGCGCCGTCCAAACAGCCGAGCGTCAGCCCTCGAGCGCGGTCCGCCCGTCATGGCCGGGCCGGCAGCAGCGGCCGCCAGACGCGACCCCGTTCCCTGCCGGCCAGCGACGCCAAACATAACAGCCGGCGAGCATGTGGCGCCGAGGCGACCACCCGGTCACTGCTGAGCAGCAGCTCCGGACGAGCGGTCTGCATAGGAGGCCACCCGGTCACTGCTCAGAAGCGGGTCCGGACGGGCCAGGTCCGGAGGCCACCGCCTGGGTGGACACTGTCCGGGCCTGGGGAGCGGGCGTCTTTCTGCCCGGCCCTCGCCAGGTCTGGCTCCGCCGGCGGGGAAGACGGAAATATCGAGGCGGCTCTCGACCGATCCCGCGCCAGCGTCTGAGCCCAGGACGTTCCCCACTCCCGGAAATACACCACAGCTACATCCAACGCCTCCAAACTTTCCTCCACGTGGCGCGTTCGGCATACGCGCGCGTCCACTCAATCCTGACGTCCGCACACGCGGAAGTAAGGCCTTTCCCTTCCGGCGGCAGCGAGCGCCGGCTATGGACATTTTACGGACATTCCTTGCAGCCAGACGTCCCCAGGTTGGCGTTAAATGGGCAGGTAGCGGCCGGCCATTAGCCGTGACGCAGCCCAGACCCAGGCCACGTCCGCCGACGCAGGCTGCGGAAGCGCCGCGGTCTGCCCCGGATATCCGAACCAGCGGCGACCGGCGAAGTTACGCTCGACTCAAGGTGGAGTTACACCAGACCCAAGGTGGAGTTACACCCGACTCAAGGTGGTGTTACGCCCGACTCCCGGTGGAGTTACACCCGACTCCCGGCGGAGTTGCGCTCGACTCCCGGCGGAGTTACACCCGACTCCCGGCGGAGTTACACCCGACTCAAGGTGGAGGTACACCCGACTCCCGGTGGAGTTACACCCGACTCCCGGCGGAGTTACACCCGACTCAAGGTGGAGGTACACCCGACTCCCGGTGGAGTTACACCCGACTCCCGGTGGAGTTACACCCGACTCCCGGCGGAGTTACACCCGACTCCCGGCGGAGTTACACCCGACTCAAGGTGGAGGTACACCCGACTCCCGGTGGAGTTACACCCGACTCCCGGCGGAGTTACATCTGACTCCCGGTGGAGCTACACCCGAGTCAAGGTGGGGTTACACCCGACTCAAGGTGGAGTTTACACCCGATTCAAGGTGAAGTTACGCTCGGCTTCCGACGGAGTTACGCTCGACTTCAGGTGGAGTCAGCATAAGCTCCGGAATCAGCCAACTCTTGATGGAAGTGATGTGCTATCGACTGCTTTACCGACATGAAGAGATCAGAGTCGGAACTGAGTCAAAACCATTGGCGGCATCTTCTGTGTATCAGCTCGAAGAGGCAGATGTTTTTATGGCATCAGCTTATGCGCGCACCAAAACAATTGAACCATTTCCTGTTTTTCTTGTTCTGACTTGAATGTGTTGGAAATTGATCACGTTATATCTACCTACGCTACTACCAACGTAAACCTTTGCGCATACCTACAACGGTTTTCGTCAGAGTGGATTACGTCATTTGCATCCTTGTTCCAAGTACCGACTAAGCCAAAATCCGCTCAGGAATTGGGCTGAGCCCCTTCTAACATCGGAACCCGACTCAACTCAAAGCTGTACAGCGCCGCTTAAGGTCACACTCGGAATAAACTCCACGCGCCGCGAGCCGGAGTTTGAGTCCATTCATCGGAGAGCCTGCGGAGTCCGGCGTCCAGTGACGGGTCTCGCGGCCGACGGTGCGTTACCCGCCGTCTCGCGGCCGTGGCCGGAGCGTCCCGGGCGCCGTCCCCGGTGACCCCGCTGACCCGAGGGTCAGCCGGCCACACGGCCGGCGCGGCCAGCGCGGACACTTATGAATATTGTGATGAATGTTATGCAAACATAACGAGGCCGGCGTTACCAAATCGCCGAATGGATCGGGTCAACGGGGCGCGCGGACGGCTCAATTTTTCATCCGGCCGTCACCGGGGTAACGCATGAGCCGTGTTCAGGCCGGCCGGCGGCGCTGACCCCTGACCGGGGCCCGCGGCGGCCGCTTCAATGGCACGTCGGCCGCCCTTCGCCGACAAAGGGCACAGCTTCGTTCCGAGCCAAACACGACTTAATTCAAGGCTAGCAGCACGGCGCATTCTGGACGCGAAAGGCTGATTGCCGCGGCGTAACGAAACGGAGATGTTTTTCAGAGGCCTCTGAAAGCGTGAGTCAGGGTTCAGTTGCCGCGCCAGCCGGCGCCAGCCACCGTCGATTCACTCCAATTGACAACGCTGCGCCGCGGGGTAACAATGGCGACCAAAAACGGGGGCCAAAGGCGAGGCGGACGTTTTTCTCGGGGTCACCGTGGCTGGCGGCTCCCGGTGTGGAACGACGCCGTTCCAGGCGGAGAATGATACGACAGAACACTGTCCAGGCCTTGCCGCGCTAGCAAGCTCGCCTCCTTTTCTGGCCGCTTGACCTTGACCAGCACTTAATCCCACACTTCCTGTAGCAAGCGCCGGATTAGATCTCAAATATCCCGGCCAGGAGACTATGACGGCGATAACTTGGACAGCTAAAGCGGACCAAGCCCACCCGTCGCGCCCCGCTACTCTGGTGACCATCGGCTCTGTGCGACCGGGCCCAGGTGAGACGCCAGCGGGGCCCCCCACCGGAACTCGCGCGCCCCTCCACCGGAACACGCGCGCCTCTCCGCTGAAACTGCCGCGTCCCTCGGCCGGGATACCAGCGCCGCCCGGGCCCCCGCTGCTCGGCGAGTTCCCCGCCCGCGCCTGCACCTCCAACTATGCTGATCGGCCAGTATGCAGATCATCCATTCAGGAATCAGACAAACGTCTCCGCATCAAACGGAATATTCCCGCCAATGCCACGCGGGGGGTCACCGGAGCGCGCTCCCGGCGCCCGAGGGGTCAGCGCCACCCGCAGGTGGCGCCGCATTGCGGTCATGTGCGGAAACAAGGGCGCTCGCCGCGACGAGAAATGGAGAAAAACGTTCGCGGGCGGAAAGTAGCGAACACATGAAACTCCACATAAGGCAAGGTCAGACCACTCCCCCGGTCGCGAGAGGCGCACATGCAACGCCGATAAAAACGCCTGCCCGAGTTTTGCGCCCTGTCACGATGATCTGTGCCCGATCACTGCAAAAGCCCCAAAACGGAAAGGCCTGAGCCTGATGGAAGCGACGGAGCGCATGGAAGCCGAACGGCGTTAGCTTCACGCAACGCGTATGGCCAACCAGAACAAAAAAACAACAACAAAAACATGCAAAACGACGGCAAAAAGAGAAGAAATTTTGCTGGTGCTGCCCGACCCACCACACTCCGTATGAGGTCTGTACACGTCCAAGTCACATCCGAAATAGATACACCCCTGCCGGCAGCACCGCCAGCTGGCTGAGCCCGTCGCCTGCAGCGGCCCCGTCACCGCCCCCGGGCCGGCTGCCGTTGCCGAGCGCCGGGCGCGCGAGGTGCGGTCCAGCCCGGTCCGTGATCAGCCGTTCTTCAGCCGGCTTCCGGCGGCCGGGGCTGGGCCGGCGGGCCCTGAGCCGGGGCTGGGCCCGGCCGGCCGTCCCCGCCGCGTCAGCGGCGCCGGCCCGCCGCTCCAGCGCCGGCGCCGATCCCGGCTCGGAGCCGCGGACAGCGGCCGGCTCGGGCGCCACCGCTGCCGCTTCTGGGGAGCGTCGGGACAGTCCCGCGCTCGACGGACGGGTGCAGTCCTGCGGCGCCCTCGGGCGGCCGCCCCTCGCCGCGCAGAGGTCGGCCCGAACACGCGGCGGCGCCGAGGGTCGGCTCCGGGTTTGCACGGCGCTCCGCGTCACACGATAACAGGCCCGATTACTCCGCAGTGGAGAGGCCCGCATGCAGATCCATCACGCGAGCCGCGCACGACCAAACGACCCGACGCGCGTATTACCCCGACACCGGCACGAACGCGGATATCGCCCGCAACGCACACCGCGCACCGGCCCCTCCGCTCACACACAGCGCCCCGCAAAACCGATCGCCACGCAGCTGGCCGCCGATTGCACAACCGGTCCAGCCCTCCGCTCCTTCCACACCTCCGGCAGCTAATCACCGGACGGTCGGGGCACGGGTGGGGCTCTCAGGGTCTCCGGCGGCCCCCGCGGGCGGGGAGGTGCACGCCGACTGCGGACCCCGCCGCCGGCGCCGGTGGAATGCTGCACCGCAAGGACCGGCGTGCAGCGCGGGACGGTCAAGTGGCGAGAGAGCACGGCGCTGGACGACCGGCCAAAATCGACACGCTTGGAACACACAGTTGGGCAGAGAACCGATAACCTCGTTTGGAGGCAGGGGGTTCGCCTCACCTGGCCACCGATAGCTTATCTAGCCGGTGAAAGGATGATTTCCCCTGACAGCGTACACGGATATAACCGGTAAGGAGTAGGAGGGAGATCCCCCCCCCCCCCCCCCCCCCGCTCTCCCATCTAACTTTGTCAGAAAGGACTTCTGTCCTTGCTCTCATTTTTTACATCACGTCACCTGCCAAAACCATGACTTGCACAGTCCCTGCAGAGCCCGCTCTGCCGCCCCCTCGCTCAGTCCCCGAAGCATGACTGCGCTCATGGCAAGCCCGGCCGCCGGCCAGCCGGACTCGGCGGCGAGCGGATGGCCTCCGCGCGTCAGCGGCTGCTCTCCCCGGGCCGTCCGGGGCGGCGCGGCCCACATCGGGCCATCGGCGCCGGCCGGCCCCGCGCCGTCCCAGCCGGCGACGTCGCGGCCGCCGCCGGACGGTGACCCGAGCTGGCGGCCGGACTGCCGCCGTCCCGGCGCCGGCGGCGGCGCCAGCGCCGGGGCGTCCTCCGGCCGCCGTACACGCCGAGCGGACGCGAATGAGTCCGCTGTGGCGCCGCGCCCGCCCGGACCGGCGTGATGACCCGGACGAACCGCGCCAGATGGCGAGATCGCGGGGCGATCATCAGATCAGTCGGCGGGGACACTGCGGCCCGATCGCGGCCGCCCGCCATCCCCGCCCCGCTCCCCGTGTCACTGGGTCAGCCGGCCGACCGCGGGGGGCGTCACCAGGGTGATCACACCCCCGTCCAGCGGCCAGCCGTCAGCATCCGGCCGTTACGTGTCAACGACCAGGTCACCCGAGCCATCTCCCGCGCTGGGAGCGATCTCGTCCACGGGAGGGCGCTGGCACCGGGCCATCAGCCCACACAGCACTCCATTCGTGTGGCGTGCTAGGGACGCGTCACGGGCGGCACGTCCGACCTGCTGAGGTGGAACAGCGATTTCAACTGAACTACAAGATACCGCAGACGGGCAAAACAGACCCTTCTCCACCCTGGTCTGTCGCTTCACACCCTCCAGGCGCTTTACTTTTGCCTTTTTCCGAGTTTTCGCTTCGCCTGCCGGTGACCCCGGGTGTCGCTCTCCGGGCGCCCTCTGGCCTCCTCGCGTATCGGAGTCCGCCCCGCCCGGACGCTGCCGCCGGCGGTACTCACTCGAGGACGGCGGCGCTGAACGGCGACTGCAGGTCGCCCAGGTACTCGCCGATCATCTGCTTGCTCAACCCCTTGCGGGTGATGAGAAAGCGGGCCACGCTGTGCGGCGCCTCGTCCAGGAAGCCGCGCCCGATCAGGTAGTCGATGCCGCGCTCCGGCTTCGTGTTGAACAGGTTCAGGCCGACACGGTACTGGCGCTTGCGCACGATCTCCGGCACCTGTGGATGGCCGGTCAGGTCTGGTCAGGCAGGGCAGGGCAGGGCAGGGCAGGGCAGGGCAGGGCAGGGCAGGGCAGGGCAGAGCACGCCAACAAGGCGGACCCAGGCCGAGAAACTGATTTACAGGGAATGCGCCTAATGCCACATGACGTGCGAGATTAACACGATGACGTGGTTGACGTCATATAAGCGCGAATAGGCATCAGTCGAAAGGTTGGATGGTTGGTTGGCTACCTGGAATTTGAAAATTCCTTGCACGTGACTTAGTCCAAAGTCCATGGTTACATGCCAGACATTATTCTCTCCGATAATCCCTTACCAGACTCCGTTCAAAGGCAACCCCACCAGGTAAAAAGACGGGTCTACGCATGACGCCCATGGCCACGAGTATGTGAGACACGTGCATTCCTTCCGTGGTCTACGCCGGTTGCAATCCTCTTAAAACTGCCGCGGGCTGACCGGTCCCCATCCCACGCGGCCTGTTCGGTTGTCGCCGCCGCCGCCGCCGCGATGCGTGAGCCGCCGTCCCAGCCCCGCCCGGCCGGCCGGCGCCTCTCCGCCCGCAGCCTCCGGGCGCACGGAAGACGACAGCGGGCCCGGCTCGGTCGCCCGGCCGGCGTGCGTGCGCCGCAGCCGCCGCCCTCATTGGCCCGGTGGCTGGCCGGCGCCTCCGCCCGCCCGGCCGGCGCCGGGCTAAACACACGTCAATTAGACCGGCGTTGTCCGCACCGAGCGCATGGAGCGGCGGGCAGTGCGTGCGACGGCGGGCGGCGGCGCCGGGAACGGCAAATCGCCGCGTCACGCCCGACGGCCGCGCTCGCGCCCACCGCCGCCGTGGCGTCACAGGAGCTCGGCAGGACCGTCGCCGGGGACCAGGCCGCCCGCCCGCACTTAATTCAGCAGGGGCTGGCGCTCCGGCGCGGTAACGGTGCGGCGGGCCTGGTGACCGCGCCGCACCGCCGCATCGGGGCCGATCGGCCGCCGGCAACCGCGACCCGGCCGCCGTCCCCTGCCGCGCGCGCCGTAAACGTCGCTCAGTGACGCGATAGGCCGGCGATACGCGGCCCGTCAACAAGACGCCGCGGGACGTGGCCGCTGCAGTCGGCCTGGCAACGCGCCCGGGCCGGGGCCAGCTGGTGCCGGCGGCCCGGCGCGGCCCGGCGGGGCGGCCCGCGTCAGATTTAGCCCGCCGCGCCGTGCCGCTCGCTCGCGCGCCACTCACCCGCCGGAAAACACGGCGCGGCGCGTGTACGTGGCGCGCGGCCGATCTCACCGCGTCACGATACGGGGCGAGGGTGGAAGCCAGCCGCCGGCGCCGCGTCGGCGTTCCGCACCGCCGCAGAAAGGCGCCCTCCGTCTGCACCGGCGGCGGAGGAGTCGGCGGCGGCGGTCACCGGATCGCTATCAGTGCACAGGCCACGAAACCGCGCCGACCGACAGACACGTGGGCGGCGGACGGCGCGGTGCGACGGCATCCCGGCCGCGCCCCGTACATGTCCAGCCGTTGGAGGCTCCACCGCAGGGGGCGGCAATGACGCACGCCGCGCCCACCTGGAAACGCGCGCGCTCGCTCGCGCCACCGGTCGTTGACGACCGCGGACATTAGCATAACGTCGCATCATCGCCGCGCGGCGGCCGGGTGCGCCGCCGCGCCGAAAGCAGAGCCAATCCGGAAAAGGCGACACGCGGCGAGCCGGCAGCCGGCCGGCGCCGAGAAGCGGCGGGTAACGAGCAAACGCAGCTTCGGCAAACGATCGGCCCCGGCGGCCGCGTCCGATGGCATTAGCAGCGCCACTCGCTCAATCGCCTCACTCTCGCCCGGCTACTTTCGAAAGGACGTTCTCCAAGCGGACTATGCCATTTTTGACGATTGAGAAACCGTCTCATTCGGTATGCCGCGCGCATAACACGCCGTCGCCGTATCGGCCCCGACCGCGGAGCGGCGGCCGGCCGGCCGGCACCGGCAGCCAGTGCCGGCCCGCCGCCGCCGCTGCGCCTCCAGCCCCCACGGACCCCTCGTCCCCAGGACCGTCGGCGCCGCAGTCCCGGCCGCCGCGTGAAGCCCGCGGTGGCCGGCGACGCCGGGCTGCGCGGGCCGGCTGTGGGTGGGCCGTGGCCCTGGCCGGGCGGCGCGCGGGCCGGGTCAGGGGTCACCGCCGACGCCGTCCACACTCAGCCATGATGGGCCAAAATCCGGCGATTAGCAGAGCCTCCGGGACAGAGTGACAGACAGCCAACGGTGGCACGGCGGGACCGGAGGTCGCCGAGATGGGCGACATTACGCAAACGCCAGGAAAAACCGGCTGCCACAAGTCGAAAGGATACTTGAGCACGTGAATGGGTTCCTGGTATGTCAGGCTAATGCCACATTATATAACGAACATATAAATACCATGTGGAGAGACAATGGGATGCGGGGATGGAGAGAGCGCGGACGGGAGGTGCGAAGAAGCAGCGGGACAAGGAAATATGAATAGGAACATGAAAACGGACAGGGACAAGCACAGGGGCTGGCAGGGACAATGGACAGGAACGGGGGAAACCGATACGGACAAGGTCAAGGACAGAGGAGAGGGAGCGTGAGACGGACAGCTTCAAAGGCAGCGAGACTCGACCACCCGGACACACCCACCCAGCGCGTTCGGACTCGTTTACCTTGCAGCTGGCTGTGGCCGGGCGGCCGGCGGCGGCCGGGCGGGCCGGCTCCGTCGGGTGGCAGACTCGCTCGGCGCCACCGGTGGCCGTGTCGCTCCGCGCCCGCGACAGCGCTCTCCGCGCACCGCTGGAGCGACTCGACGAGCGCTGCAAGAAGGCGCCGCTAATTAGCGCGGCCAGTGACGGACCAGTTAGGCGGCGGCACTCGGCGCGGCGGCGGCGCCTGTACCCGTGGGAGTGATGGGGACGCCCTGGGAAGGCGGCGCACGCACGCCACCACCGTGCACTTGGTCCGCGGCGCCTCGGCCGGCGGCGAAACCGCTCACACTCACACGGCACTACCCACAGTCGGCTCCGACTGCTCATAACAGAGGATCGCGCGATAAATCACGGATTTCTCCGCGCCGCCGCCTGAGCGATAACCTGCCGCCGCCATGTGCCCGGGACGTCTCCAGGCGCCGAGCGGCGTGCTGTTATACGGCGCTGGCCGCGCGCGGACACCGACGGGCGGCCGCCGGCTGGAGCATTCGGCGCCTCCCAAATGAGCGCCGTCCCAGCGGCGGCCCGTCACCCCTCACCGGGACTGGAATACGACCGCGGCGGCCGGCGGGATACGGCCCATCCTCTGGCGGCCACGGCGGCCGGCTCTGCGTCAGACGCGCCGTCAGCGACCGTCGCCAGCGCACCGCAGGTGTGGACGGGCGCGCTGCGGAGGTCCGGCCGCACCACCGGGTCCGGTCCGGCAGCGTCGGCGTGGCGTTGCGGGCGCGGCGGCTCGCCGTTGGGCCGCTGCCGGTGTCAAGGCCGGCCTCGCGCCACAGGCGCCCGGGCCCTCGGATCGCGGCTCCTTCGCGCCACCCCAAAACAGATCACCAGATCCGGCCCGGTTGATCCGTTTTTGATTCGTTCGTCCTTGTTTGCGACCGCAGACGTGCCGAGCCGTTTTGGCGCGTCCACGCCTCCGCCCTCGCGCTCCCAAGGATGCTGCCCGCGCCGCCCGGCCGAGTGTCTGATTCAGCGCGTTTGGAAGGGAGAGCCGTAAAAGGTTGGCCGCCCGCCGCTGGCACCTCCATCGAAGCGCCGAACTTAACGACGGCCCACCAACGTCCGCCAGATAGCCGATGGTAGGGTCCCGTCGCCCGCTAGTAGCCTCTGACATCAGGCGTGGGAACATGAGGAGGGGCGATGGGACCACACCCCACCTTTCATGAAGTTTAAACATTATCTCTTGGGTCAGGCGTGGAGATAATTGTCTTTGTGCGCGAGTTCCGCCAATTTTTGCGACGGTTTTCAGCTAATGGTCGCCGTGGGCGGCCAGGGGTACCACAAAATACCAGACAACCGAATACCAAACAGCGACGTGACAAAGCGCTTTTCACTAGTTTTCAACGCCGTCGTGAATCACTGTAATTAAACTACTTGTAGCGGCGCCGTCATGAAGAGTGGCTCAAAATGCAACACCGTACAGTGCGATTCACATAGAAGGCATCAATTTCTCGCTTTCTTTTCGGCTCGCGCCGCAACAAGCGTGGGAGCGCGGCCAGCACCGGTCCTGGCCGCGGCGCCGCGGGCCGCGCGGCCGGCTGGAGCGCGCCTGCGGTGGCGGGCCGACCACGGCCGACCGCGGTCGACAAGCGGCGATCAGCTGACGTCGTGCTGCGCCGCTGCGGCCGAGGCGGGCCGGTCGGGGACGGACGGCGGCGGCCGGCCGGGGTCACGGCAGGCACGCCGCCCGCCGGCGCCGGCCTCCAACGTGACGGATGTGTCGGGGTCGCCAGGCCAGGACCTTCAGCCGGCGCTCGCGCCGTGCCCCGGGCTGGCGGGGCCCCCGCGCGCGGCCGGATCACGCCCGCAGCCCCTCTCGGCCGCCGCCGCCGGGCGAGCAGCAGCTCCGATCTGTTCGGCGCACGTCGCGCCGAGCGGACGCCCGCCGTGTGCGATGAGTCAGGCCCACCACCGCAGTACCGGACCTGCGGCCTCCCCCCGGCCCAGTGTCCAGCGGCGGCGCGGCCTTGCGCCGGGACAGCGCAGGGCGGCGGCGGCGCAGGCGAGCCGGGCCGGGCCGGGCGCTCCGGCCGCTCGAGGCGCGACATCCGGGTGAGGGCGGGCGTGGCCGCGCCGGCCGGAGACGCGCGCTCGGACCCGCGCCCCGGCGCCTCTCCACAACACGCCCGCCCACCTCGACTCGGACGGTGCGGCGTACACAGACCCGTCAGCACGCAGGGATGAGATCTCGGGATTTCTGCAGCGTCCGCGCATTTGCTGCAAGCGAGCGGCGTTCTCAGCAGGAAAGCCACACCGCAACGAATACGTGGTAAGCGGGAAGCTGCAGTGGCCTGAAAGCAGTGCCAACACGAAAACATGTTTCATAAGCCGCCAAGCCTGAGACAACCCATGCGACGACAATAGGCACCATCGGCTAAGCGCGCCGGTGAGGCGCTGCCATGAGACGGACGGGGCGCGACTGAGCGCCGGACCACATCAATGGGCGCCGGCCGCCGTGCTCCCGAATCGTTGCCGACGCTGCTCGCCGGCCCGTCTCCGGGCGAGGGCGAGGCTCCGGTGAGGTGACTGACGGCGCCTCTGCCGTCGCCCGCTCGCCGCCGCCGCGCCGCCGCGCGTGACCACCGACGCCAGAGCGGCGCGTTGCGCCACCGTCCGTGCAGCATCCCTCTCCGGCGGCGGCCTGTGCCGTCCCGCGCGGCGACGGCGGTGCTGGCCGGCGCACGCGACGCGGGCCGCCCGGCCGACGCGTGATGACCCGGCGCCTGCCCGCGCCGCCGCCGCTGGCCAATCGCCGCCGGCGACGGACGGACGACCTCGCGGCCGCCGGCGGCGCCGCCCACCGCGCGCGCGTGCGGCCGGCCGGCCGGGGTCGCCGCAGGGTCGGACCGGGTCCCCGGAAACGGCCGCGGCGGGCGGCGCGGCTGATTGGAGTGCGCAAACGGCGCGATTGCAGCCCGCTGTCGGCGGCGCCGGCCGTTTTTGCCGGCGGCCGAGCACCGGACACTCGGCGACAGCAGCGCCGCGCCGCTCGTGACCGGCGGCGGCCGACGACCGGCGGAGGACTGCGGACGGCGGCGGTACCCCCCCCCCCCCCCCCCCCACTTCCCCCGCCGCCGAGAAGCACCTCGCGCGACGGAGGACAGATTGTCCAGCACACAGCCCACCGGCGGATCAGTCAGTAACAAACTGCGCGTCCGCGCGCGGAACAGGCTGGTTGCGCCGGTCTCCTGCGCGGAATCATCTCTGACGTCTTCGATTGGCCTCAAGTCCGCGTCAGTGACGTCACGGTGGCGCGACTGGACAATTTGCATTCGAAGAAAGTCGCCGGTCCGGGATACGACCATCAGGCCTGTCACTGATTCAGATCGGTTACCGACTGGTTAGCCAGTTCCGTGGCTAGCCGGTTAGCCCGGTCAGCGCGTCGACGAGGTCTTCCCACGCACAATCCGGCGCCGTTCGCTTCCATCCCGCGACGCCACTTTCCCCTTCATTGTGCGGCCTCTCTCGAGACGGCACAGTAGCTTCCCGTCATTGTGGGACTCGGCACAGGCCGGAGCCGCGCCTCCCTCATTCCCGCCCCGCGGCCCATGCCGCCTGCCTTGCGCAACGGTCCAGGAGCGGACGCACAGTGGCACCCCCGCCTCCCCGAGGCTCGACACGTCTCGGGATGCTAGCGTTCGTTCACGCGGCTCCCGTCCTCCGACAAGCCGACGCTGACGCCGACGCCGACCGGCGCCCAGCGTCCCCAACGTGGCGCACGCCGCTGCGCGATCGCGGCAGCGTCGCCGCCCGTCCGGCCGGGGCGGACGCGGCCTTGGTGACGGCAGCACTTCTGAGCCGGCCGGGCCGACCGTCACCGCCCCGGGAGCGTCTCTTCACAACCCGTTTGCGAGGGCCGTGCAGGATTGCGACACGGCCGGCGGGCCGCTCCGCCGGCCGGCTCATGGCGCCGCCGGCCCGAGTCCGCCCCGGCCGCCCATCACCCTCTCCCCTGTCCCGGGCACCCCGGTGGCGACCCAGTGGGCACTCGGAATTTCTGGAATCGAATGGACAGCGGCACCCAAAAATAGGCTAGTGTCCATTGTTTTCTTGTTATTAATTATACAATTTTTCGTTCCAGCACAGTGGCTTTACATGCAATAGCACCATCTTTGTAACCTCTAATCCTGCGGCACAGGTAAGCACGATGTTTCCCACCGCCGATAGCCTGTTACTTTTCATTCTTTCCGGACGCCGTTTCCCCCAACGGCCTTTCCGGTCGGGTTTTCGCCTCTGGCGCCCTGGGCCAGCTTTGGGCACTCCAGACCGCTCGGAGCGGCCACATCCGGCTCCCGGCGTCCACCCCGTCCGGGAGGGGTGACCGCCTCCAGCCCTCGGTGTCCACCCCGCCCCGGAGGGGTGACCGCCCCCGGCCCTCGGCGTTTCCCGGTCCCCGAGGGGTGACGGACGGCCTCCAGCCCTCGGCGTCCACCCCGTTCTGGAGGGGTGGGTGCCTCCAGCCCCCGGCGTCCTCCTCGTCCCGGAGGGGTGGCCGCCTCCGGCCCTCGACGTCCTCCCCGTCCTGGAGGGGTGACCGCCTCCAGCCCTCGGTGTCCTCCTCGTCCCGGAGGGGTGGCCGTCTCCAGCCCTCGGCACCCACTCCGTCTGCCGTCCGCCGGCCGCCGTGCCCCACCGGAGCGGACCGGGCGGCCTCAGCGCTGATTGGAGAGATCGGCTCACCGTCCGGCGCGAGTGACGGCTTCCAGGCACGAGACGGGGCCGCCGGGTCGACCGCGCCGGCCGCCGGCCGCCGGCCGTTTTCGCCGCATACGTAATGAACGCGTCCGCGCGACCATTAGCTGAATGGGAAGAGATTTACCGACGCAAAAGTCGGACTCGCTCGGTGGGAGAGAGAGCTGGGCTGACTGCGTGCTCATCACAAGGAGGCTTCACGCTCCGAACTGCCCCATATAATCGCGCGCGGTTATAAAGAGACAACTAAGCGAAGAGGGCCAGGCCGACCCGAGGATGTCTCTCCTCCCCCCCCCCCCCCCCCCCCCCCCCCTGCCCACCCCCCCCCCCCCCCCCCCCCCCCCCCCCCCCCCCCCCCCCCCCCCCCCCCCCCCCCCCCCCCCCCCCCCCCCCCCCCCCCCCCCCCCCCCCCCCCCCCCCCCCCCCCCCCCCCCCCCCCCCCCCCCCCCCCCCCCCCCCCCCCCCCCCCCCCCCCCCCCCCCCCCCCCCCCCCCCCCCCCCCCCCCCCCCCTCCTCCGTTTTGAGGAGACGTTAAAGCTGTCTGGTATCATTTTGCCCGGCACATGCCAGACAATTCAAGGTGTAAAGCATCACTTTACACCAGCGCGAGGCCTTAGTAT